GCGATGAAGGCATGCAAGCGTGTCAACTCAACTCAACTCCCAAAGTCGAAGCCATTTGTGGAGTCGGAAGATGATGAAGACCCAATTGTTCAGGTATGTGTTCTGGCTTATTTGTGACATGCTCTCAATTTGTTGCAGCCGATTTCGCGTGGAGTGCCAGAGGTCGTCCTTCCCCAGCACTCCACCATTGTTGTAAGGAAGCCCCAGTCGCCTCGGTCACCCGGTTCCCCCAAGAAGCAATCATTTGGGCCTGCTTCAATAAGTCTGATTTATCCGTTTGGACCTTAAATATATGCTCATGTGTCCACAGCTGACTGCTGGCAGTCGTCCAGAGGTCACGGTGAGTCGTTCGGACTTGTCCAGACCTCCCATGTATAATTGTCACTCATTCCCATTACATTAGAAATCTCCCATCGGTCGTCCAGAGGCTCGGGTAGGTCTTAGAAGCTCTCCAGAAACTCATATGTGTATTAACAATCCGTCAGGCAACCTCCGGCAGTCGTCCGGAAGTTGAGGAGCCCTCTGAAGATACTTCCAATGCTTCAGATGGTGACCCACCAGCAAATATTACATTTGATATCACCATTCCCAGCCCAGTGAGTACTCCAATTAATTCCCCTTCATCCATCTACTAATGGATACCACAGAACAACCCCTGCCATTATTGTGTCAAGGAGAATTGGCCCTGTGCAACTCGATTGGACAAGAGGTCCAGCCTCCCCTGCTTGTCTTGCATCTGCTGCTCCACCAAGAAGATCAAATGCAACCCTGCATCTCTGGGATCCCCACCCAAACGGATCCGAGGGAAGTCTACCACCGGCTGGACACGTTCCAAGACACCTGCCCCTGCTCCATCCACTGCTCCGTCTCCCTCCCGGTGTCATGCATGGTATGTGATTCATACCATGTCAGATATATATAGAGAGTGATAAGGAAGATATGAGAGACTGTCTAGCCCTTTGTCACTAAGTTACCTCTCTATTTTTCCTTTATTTCATTGTCTTGTATTTTATTTCTCACTTTACAGGCTTATTTTACCTTGTATTTGCATCAAGCATGTGACCTTCTGTTTATTTCTCATTGTTTATTTTTATTTGGCTTCTTTCAGCCACCAAGTTTTGTATCTCTATTTATTTCTGACTGTTTATTTGTATTTGGCTTCTTTCAGCCACCAGCTTTTATTTGTCATCACATCATGTGACTGGGAAATATTCTGGTTTGTAACATTATTTAAGCTGACTCAACATGTTTAGTCATGATTGGCCATGCTTTGTAACAACATTTAACATGGCTCAACATGTTTAGTCATGGTTTGTCATGGTTTCTAATTTCTTTGTAAGATTACACTGTATTTGTAATGTACTTAGTAATAAGCTGATTCATCACCTGGTTTGTAAGCCACATTCTTACCAATCCATCTGATTAATCATGCTTAGTAAGGGGGTTCCCAAAAGGTATAAAAGGACCCCATTTTCACCCATGAAATACAATCCTCCCACTTGACTCTTATCTCAAACCGTGTGAGACCACTAAGACTTAAAGTGCAGGCCAATATAAGTGCCTTGAGGTAATCTAAGATATCATTATCTATTCTAAAGTTATATACTACCTTACAGGGGTCGACTATATAACTTTCATTATCGTTATTCTACTCTAGGTTATATACTACCTTACAGGGGTCGACTATATAACTTTCATTATCGTTATTCTACTCTAGGTTATATACTACCTTACAGGGGTTGACTATATAACCATTGAACAGCTCTCATTCTAAGCTTTACGTGTATTCATAAAACTCTCCCTTTCAACGGAAAGTGAGACACATCTAAGGACGACAAAGTTGAAACAGACTTTCATAGGTTGAAATACGACCTACTAGGCTGAAACAAACCTAACGAATTTATCCAGAACACAGAACATTCCACAACAACTTCGTATAAGACTACACAAGAAGAGGACAACAAACTAAATCCTCCCAAGAACTCACCACGTTACCTCCCACGAAGTAGAAAAGTCGGAGACCGTGGACTTAAGGACTGGCAAGAAGTCTTCACCGTGTATAATTGTGTTGTCATTATACACAACTTTCATATAAGACCCTTAAGTAACAAGACACCGGTCAAGGGCCCGAACTCATAGTCAATCTCGTGGCCCGTCCCAACCTCCAGCCATCCCTGCTGCAACTACACCCCAGGTGCAGTCACGTGGTCGCAGAAAGACCATCACCATCAAGAAGACACCTGCACCTGTCCCTGCATCTGTCCCTGCACCTGCACCAGCTGGTAAGTCACCCAAACCCTTGATGACCGGCTGACCTAATTTTTTACTTAGCAGTCAGGTCTTCCAGCGTCGCAGTGCCTCGTGCAGCACTCGATGTTCCCATGCCGGATCTCCATTCCATGGCAATCATGATTCGGGATGGTGCAGCTCACATCGCAATTCTTGAGGCTCGGGTGCAGGAGCAGGACGCTCAGATTGATACCCTGCAATACCTCCATGAGAGCCTCCGGTGCATGGTGATCAACCAGCACCCTTCATTTTCACTTCCGGACACACCGGCTGATGGATTAATGTTGCTTGATCAAGGAGGTCCCCCCCGTCCATGTCACCCCTCCCCTCTGCACTTTCCAACCTCATTGATTTGGACTTTTCAGTGATGGAACCCACACCCATGACGCCTGAGCATGGATCTGCTATGGTAGGTCCCATGGTTGAGCCCACCCAAGTTCAGCCTGAGGGTCCACAATCCTCCGGCGAAATTGTGCTCCCAGATGAACCAGGCAACCTCTTGCCAGAATCCTCTGGCGATATTGTGGTCCCTAATGAACCAGGTAACCTCCTGCCAGAATATGCTTCCTCTGATGAGGAGATGGATGTTGAGGGAAACATTGATCTTCCTGGTGAGGAGGTTGAAATGGCTACATAATTGCTCAGTGATAGATGTACATAAATCTTTTTCAATGCATGTTACCTATGCCACAATTGAATGATTCAATGATCAGTCCCAATATCCAGAACTCGAAACTATAGATTGAGGTAGATATCACCCGAAACCCAAACACCCGAATGTCAAATTCTCAGTGCCGAACCCCGAGTCCCAGGTGCCGGGTGCCGAGTCCTAAAATTTGGAACTCAGGATTTGACATTTGAGATGAACGACATCTCTCAGACAATGTTTAAATCAACCTACGTATATCTGTAAACATTTTACTAACCCCCAAACCCCAAACCAAGATGTACCAACCCCCGAATCCCGAATCCCGAGACTGCCGGGTCTCGGGGTTCGGGGTTCAGGGGTCCTGGAACTCGGAACTCGGGAAATTTGGGGAGATCAATAAAATTTGATTTACAATCGAGTTTATTGACAAACACATTGACTTACCCATGTTTGAAATATATTTTGTTTACACATACTGAGTTCCAAGTTCCGAGTTCCGGACCCCGAGACCCGGCAGTCTCGGGGTTCAGGGGTCCGGAACTCGGAACTTGTGAAAATTTGGGGAGATCAATAAACTTTGATTTACAATCGAGTTTATCGACAAACACATTGACTTACCCATGTTTGAAATATATTTTGTTTACACATACCGAGTTCCAAGTTCCGGACCCCCGAACCCCAAGACCCGGCAGTCTCGGGGTCCGGAACTCAGAACTCGGTATGTGTAAACAAAATATATTTCAAACATGGGTAAGTCAATGTGTTTGTCAATAAACTCAATTGTAAATCAAATTTTATTGATCTCCCCAAATTTCCCAGGTTCCGAGTTCCGGGACCCCCGAACCTCGAAACCCGAGACCTGGCAGTCTCGGGTATCGGGATTCGGGGGTTGGTACATCTCGGTTTGGGGTTTGGCACTGAAAATTTGACATATATATTTTTGTGAGTGTTTTGCTTCTGGTGTCCATGCTTATAAATAGGATATGTTGCACACCAGGGTTCAGGTGTGGGGTTTTTCCACTTCAGTCCTCGATTATTGGTCAATGCCACACATGGTCGATTCATGTTTTTGTGCTTAGGGGTTTAGATTTGGGGTCGACGGTAGGTATATGCACTCATAGTGTACATGTATCCTACGTGTTTGATTCGCTGGTGGCTACATCAGCTGTATGTCTTGATGGAACATATCTAGGCTCACCCATATATGTACCCATCTATGTACAATTCCCCCACGTCAGCCCACCCATCTATGCATTATCCCCCACCTCGGCCCACCCGTCTATGTAATACATCCTATGTTGGCCCACCTGTCTATATAATACATCCTCCGTCGGCCCACCTGTCTATATAATTATACCCCACCTCAGCCCACCTGTCTATGTAATAAATATTTTATCGCACCCTCGGCCCACCCATCTATTTGATATCCCTTTCGTCGGCCCACCCGTATATGTAATACTTTTCATGTCGGTCCACTTGTATATGTAATACACCCCACGTCAGCCCACCCGTCTATGTAATATTCCCCTACCTCAGCCCACCCATATATGTAATACACCCCCGTCGGCCCGCCCATCTATATAACAATATTTGCCTTACATCTCTCTTCAGCCCAGCTGTCTATAATATCCTACTCTACATATTACCCAGATGGGCCCACCCATCTCCATGAATGATCATATTCCCCCGGCCCATCCATCAACATCAAGGATATATATATCATTGGCATACATGGGCCCACCCGTCTCCATCGGAAATAATATGTGTCCTGGCCCATCTGTCATCATCGAGAATATACACAACATAGGCCCATGATCCGCTGGCCCATCTCATACAGGATATTATGGAGGTCGGGTGGCCCATATAATACAGAATTTGTCACTGAAGGGGCTCCCTTAAAGGCTACATTCAAAATGATGTTCAAGACATCAATGCCACCACTTCCCTCTTACGCGACGCCCTTGCATTGTGTCTGCAGCCCCATCCCGATCATCTCTTGTCTCTATATAATCTTGCCAAAGCACTGACTTGGCGCCACAATAAGAAAAGGACTGCTGCCGATATGCATGAAGCTGCCCAACTCTATCGTGAACTACTGCCTCTCTGTCCAGAGGGTACCTACCTTAGCATCGCAGCAGGGAAAAATGGTGTTGATTATATGATTGGTGGATGCAACGAATTTCTAGAAGACGCATCCAATGAAGGTGTCCACATTCGAAGAGTCGTCCTCCTTCGGAGAGTCGTCATCAAGCTTGCACAAGTACTTCGAGAACACTTTGATCAGTACAGCAGCATCAATAATCTTGACATGAGCATATGATGTGGTCATGAAGCCGTGTCTCGGTGCCCCGAGGGACATGCTGACTGTGGTACCTGCCTGCACAACTTGGCCTTCTCACTCACGTCGCGCTTTCGACACCAAGGCAGACCTAATGACCTCGATGAAGCCATCTCTTTGCATGAAGAGGTGCTGCATCTGTGCCCTGTTGGGCGCAAATATTGTGATTGCTCATTGAACAGCGTAGGGCTCACCCTCATCATCCGTTTCAACCAACGCGGCGACATTGATGGCATCACCCGAGCTATCAGCCTCCATCACGAGGCACTGGCGTTGCACCCACCTGGGCATTCACATCGTGCCATCACACTTAACACCCTTGCCGTCGCACTCAAAACCAAATATGACAAATCACATGTTAGCGAGGATCTTAATGAGACCATTAATTTGAATCGGGAATGCCTTCGGTCAAAGCAGCTTGACTATCCACAACGTAGAAATCTTTTCAATTTGAGCTCGGCGCTCTGCGCTCATTTCATGGAAACTCAGAAGAATGAAGATATCAAGGAGGCCATTACTCTTTGCCAACAATCATTGGCGGCTCTGCCTCCATTACACCTGGACAGGTATTTCAGCTACCTGTGGCTGCAAGAAGCCTATTTGGCTCGTTACCAAATTCTACGTGGCCCTGCTGATTTGTCGCTGGCTATACAGAACTTCAGACTTGCATCAGGGCACCCTACTCAAGGCTTTCCGGAACATATTAAGACCACATACAATTGGACCATTGACGCGGAGCAGCTTGGTGATGTGTCTGCATTAGAGGCATACAGCATGTGTTTTGACCTTCTTGATGGTCATTTGGCAACGCGATCATCGACAATTTCACAACGCGAAGCTGCCGCTGCCTTCTATTACACGAGATCCCTGTCCGTAGATGCAGCCTCATGTGCTATATGTCATGTCAATCTACAGTGGGCAGTTGAGCTCGTGGAGCAGGGCCATGGCCAGCAGTGGTCGCTGGCATATCAACTCAGGACTCCAGTCGAAGACCTCGAGTCAACAAATCCGAAACTGGCATGCAATTATTTGGAGCTGAGCAAGCGTGTTTCCAATGCAGCCCAGAGTTCTGCAACCATCACCGACAGAGCTGCTGCTGATCTGGAAGCAGTCGAGTATAGGAGACTTACAAGGCAATGGGAAGCAGCTGTAGCTAGGATATGTGGTCTTCTGGTGTTTTCGCGGTTTCTGCTTCCACCTGCATATGAAGATTTGCAAGCGGCAGCGCGCCAAGGCCCAGTCATTATCCTCATTGCGAGTCAATACTCTTGCAGCACCATCATCATCCTGACATCAGGAGACCCCCGCCATGTTCCTTTGCCGTCCATCGCTCTCGCAGATCTCAAGATTCTCAAGGATTGCTTTGCCAGGGAAATATGAAGTCGAGGACCGATCTAATAGTGCTTTTGCGGATAATATGGGACCAGATCATGCTACCCATCGTTGACGTACTCGAGCACATCCTCAAACTACAGCACCTCTCTCGAATCTGGCTGTGTCCCACTGCAGCTTTCACGTCCATCCCTCTCCATGCAGCTCACCCGTTTCAAACAAAGGCAGATCATTCTGGAAAGGAGCCATGCCTGGAGGATCTCTACATTTGCTCTTACACGCCGACACTTTCTGCTCTGATCAGATCTAGATGGTTGATGAAGAAGTGCAGAGTGCTGCCGTCCTTTGTGGCAATCAGACAGGGTCAACTGGGTGCAGGGAAGGGCAAAGCGCTGTTGGCCGTCGACAGCAAGCTCGAGCTTGTGCATAAGCTTGTCCCTGCGATGGTCAACTGCACCACTATATCTGGCAATGAAGCCACACGAGCAGGTGCACTCGAAGCCTTGCAGCAGAACACCTGTGTGCACCTCACTTGTCATGGCAAGCAGGACCCTGAACAGCCTTACGATTCGCATTTCGTTATGAGAGATGAACATTTAACGCTTCTCAATATCATGGAGAAACATATTCCGCAGGCCGAGTTCGCGTTCTTATCAGCTTGTCACACTGCTGTAGGCGATGAGGAGACGCCTGACAAAGTGATCCACCTCGCAGCTGGTCTCCAGTTTTCAGGGTTCAAGAGCATCATTGGCACGCTGTGGGAGGTTGACGACTCTGTCGCAAAACACATTGTCGAAGCTTTTTATGGGTATATGATTGGAGATTTGCAGAAAGGTGGTGTCATGGACTGCACAAGGGCGGCGTGGGCACTGAACTGTGCTATGCACGCAGTGAAGACGAAAGTTCCACTGGAGCAGAGGACGGTTTTTGTCCATATTGGTGTGTAGTCCTACATTGTATTGCTGTCGTCTGGTATATATTCTCATGTTGTTAATCTGTGATCCTCTTTTATTCTGTCGTATAATTTCAAATGACACTGATACATGTTCTTGTGCTCTAGCTATCTTGTTTTCGTATACTCTGTCGTGTTTTCTTTTCAACTAGAATGTTCATGAAAGTTTTTGTGCACTCGAATCATTTGCAACTTCGTCTGTTACTTAGGTACTCAGATAGTAGTGGGAGTTAGGCTAGTCAAGCCTACCTGCGCCTTCAAGCTTCACCCCTTCTGCCTCATCGAACCTCGACTAACCACCACCGATGTAATCAATGTCAGTTAGAAACCGAGTCAAGTCATTAGCAAATCCCGGCTGGTTGCTTCGACTTGTGGCCCATATGCGTACTCTCCAAAATTAGAGCCAATTTGCCCATGAAGCATGCACTTAGTATTGTGTCGTGCTGTTTCATGCTCAGGCCTACTTTGATGCGACGATTTCAGGCCAGATATAGCCAGTATTTGATATTCATTTCCTATTGTAGGCACTGATGATCCAAAACGTACGCATACTTGTGAAGTGCTCGGCACCCCCTCGACTTGCCCTCAAACCTACCTCCCGTTAATGTTATAACGAAGTAGTGAAAATAGACGCATTCAATGATGCGCCTTTCACTGCTACCAGACTTTCTGGGATATCTTGTGGCTGATGCCCATGCAGAAAGTAAAGCTGGATATTGGAAAGGTTGTCAGTATTCCAGACAGATAGATTCGAAGGGGTGAGTGTAGCTCTGTACAATGTGAGATTAGCTTGAAAGATGCGCCAAGCAGAACCTATCAGAGTGTTGTCTATGCTCCTGTTGAACATTGGTCCACCTGCATCCAGCATCAAAATCAAAGAGCTCCGCAGTCAGTGGCCACATCCTCCAAACCCAATGTGAAAGGGAATCCTTGTGTTCCATGTGCTCTGCTACTCGTTATCCTTGTCTTGTCATCAAGGATGACTCTTTCGGTAACGCTCAATATCTGTCTTTTGGATCAATGCGGTATATCGTGAATGACGAAACTAGATGGTGACATATGGGCTAGGCGACATTCAACGCTTTACGGTAGATGTTAGATGTTAGACATTAGATGCATGAGACAAACATAAGCAAGGGACAGACTTTCTATTTCCATGCTCCGTTTGGGTGTCGATCTTCAAGACATCTCTACTGCTCTCTCCAACAGGTTATTGCCACTATACGAACATTTTCGATGAGAAGCAGTAAACTGTCGCTGGTCGCAGAAAGGATGTCAGTGATGTACCCCTTCAGTCATGTGAGTCGCCCCAGTGCAATATGAGGTATACCACCTGAAGATAAACTTGAATGGCGAATTTCCATCATCTTCTTGAGTCGAGTTTGATAAACATAGATATGCTTGCAGTGCACTTGATTAATTTTCACACTAATGAATTCGTGTTATTGGATTTCAGCAAACACACGACAAGGTCATATGTGGAGCAACACACCTTCAAGTCAGACAGATCGGCCCACCAAGCCACTAATGATGAGATGCCAATCCCCGGTTTCCCACACCTTCTGACATCACCTCTTTCAAATCCCAGTGTGGTGTCTATGTTTTTGTACGACGAAAGGAAGGCGTAGGTGGGCCAGGTGAAATTGATGCGACCTGCTGTGGTCATGACACGCCATATGTATGCCAACAGCCACCTAATAGACTCGTGACCCATCCGTCTAGGCCTGGGTTTGAAACTGGATAGTATGACATGCTCTGCGCCGTGTTGCGGCTAACGTCTTGGGACTAGGGAGTAACACCACATGATGGCAGAAAGATACATCAATATGGTTAATGATCCATAAATTGCGATACATACTTTACTATAGTTATCCATCAGTCTAGGATACATCCTGTTAGTATAGTTATCCTGGCTTCTAAAAGCAGAAATTCACTCCTATTTGGCTCATCAGGACTTCCCACAATATTGCCACACCGCATTTTTAGCCCCACAGCGTGGGAATTACCCCACAATGCCCAAAACATTGACCATTTGTGGAATCTCCACAATATCAATTATTCCCACACCCTCCCCACCTCACTGCAGCTTCACCACTACACCACAACAGGTCCCCCTTCATATATAAGTAGTAGTTTGGAATATATATGTATAATATAATAGACCGCTTTTTTTGCTCATTTATGTACCTGCACCTCCTCCAGAGACCATTTAACATATAATAGGATACAGAATACTTTCGCATTTTTGCCCCTATGGTAGGGAAGTGTCCCAGGTTATTCAGAACATGTTTAGAAGTATACATGAAGAGATTCCCATCTTTATTTTACCTCCTGGAGCCTTCTGCATCAATAGATATAGCATATATATGAGAAAATACAAAATATGTTCTCATTTTAGTATTTCCAGGTGGATAGACTTCAAAAGATGATCCCCAGCATCTATTTAACAGTAGGAACAATGTATCAGGAGCCCAGGACCACAGGACAAGACCTTGTTGTGTTGTATACCTCCCCTCTCCTGGTGGTTCACCCCCTGTGAAAGGTTTTCCTGCAGTACTGGACCTTAAGCATGGTAGGGGGCCTATTTCTATTCATATTTGGAGTATATATATCATATAGCTAGCTCATTACACCAACAGGATACTTCTACAGGAACAAAAACATAGAAAATCACATTTTTGATGTTTTTGATGTTTTTCAGCATCTTACCCTTGCACATATGATCCAACCTGCTCATATACAATTAGTGTAGCATATATACTTGCTTTTTATGACCAATATCAGCTACATATAGGGCGGAAGTTTGGGATCTGATGTAAAGGGGACATTTTTACTGATAAGAGACCTCCATGATAGTCAAGGGTATATTTAGTGATCAGAGGCCTGTAGTACCTCTCATATATATATTTGAAGATAGCCTTGAAGGTTCAGAAAGATCCATGAAGTATTGAGTGAATGAGAAGCAAAATGATATATGTGTGAAAAGTGACAATACACATCTTTTCACACAAAAACATATTTATATATAATACAGGTCGAAGATTTTATTAAAAATATGTAGGATACATAGTAGACTACCTAAGGAACCTGTGCTACATACTGCCCTGAGAGTAGAGGATAAGTGGAAAGAATGTAGTGTAGATATGAGTTGACCCAGTATTAAAGTCCTACCACTGCTTAACTGACCATTTTCGATGTTTTGAGCATTTGAACTTTCCCACACTCAGTTTCTTATCTACTTCACTTCCACAACTCTCAGTTCTGGGTGGATCTTTCTGTAAATTAGGGTCTATGATATTGAATATATTTAAAATGTGCTCCAGGTGTCTGATCATTAAAAATTGATAAGTTGAACATATGGGCCTCTAATTAGTAAAAATGTCCCCTTTACATCAGATCCCAAACTTCCGCCCTATATGTAGCTGATATTGGTCATAAAAAGCAAGTATATATGCTACACTAATTGTATATGAGCAGGTTGGATCATATGTGCAAGGGTAAGATGCTGAAAAACATCAAAAACATCAAAAATGTGATTTTCTATGTTTTTGTTCCTGTAGAAGTATCCTGTTGGTGTAATGAGCTAGCTATATGATATATATACTCCAAATATGAATAGAAATAGGCCCCCTACCATGCTTAAGGTCCAGTACTGCAGGAAAACCTTTCACAGGGGGTGAACCACCAGGAGAGGGGAGGTATACAACACAACAAGGTCTTGTCCTGTGGTCCTGGGCTCCTGATACATTGTTCCTACTGTTAAATAGATGCTGGGGATCATCTTTTGAAGTCTATCCACCTGGAAATACTAAAATGAGAACATATTTTGTATTTTCTCATATATATGCTATATCTATTGATGCAGAAGGCTCCAGGAGGTAAAATAAAGATGGGAATCTCTTCATGTATACTTCTAAACATGTTCTGAATAACCTGGGACACTTCCCTACCATAGGGGCAAAAATGCGAAAGTATTCTGTATCCTATTATATGTTAAATGGTCTCTGGAGGAGGTGCAGGTACATAAATGAGCAAAAAAAGCGGTCTATTATATTATACATATATATTCCAAACTACTACTTATATATGAAGGGGGACCTGTTGTGGTGTAGTGGTGAAGCTGCAGTGAGGTGGGGAGGGTGTGGGAATAATTGATATTGTGGAGATTCCACAAATGGTCAATGTTTTGGGCATTGTGGGGTAATTCCCACGCTGTGGGGCTAAAAATGCGGTCACATATTGGATAATCCGTTTGAGCAGTGATTTGTAAGCTGGCAAGTGCCCAAAGCTTCTATAAATGATTCTCCTCAAGGATACATCCTGTTGGACAATTGGATAGTTATAGGTAAGTATGTATCAGTATTTATGGACTGTTGTCCATTCAAGATGTATTAATATAGCGCTATGGGCTGGGAGTAATTTGATCTTCATGACAGCTGACTCAGATTGAAATAATGTCTTGGAGTACCAGGTGCGCACTGAAGTAATGAAGTACCAACTCTTCTGTGATTCTGTGACATATTTCTGGCTCACTAGCTCAGCGCTCAGGTACCGTTACCGCCCCACACTTAGTGGCGTACTTATCACAAGTCCTGATCAGTATCCCATTGTTGCTGACCCTTTAAATAAAGCCACTGCTAGGACTGTACTCTCCGCTCTTCTGTTTTACTGAGCCATTTTTCTATAACACCCTTATGCCAAGTCACATTGCAGTTACCAACATCCAATCTCATTTACCATGCCACCCTACCCCAGTGTTCATTACTGCAAATGTGGCAAGTCTACAAAGAGAGCCACAAAACTTGGTTACTGCCCCAAATGTTCCGAAACTTGCGAGGGAAAGGGGTCAGCTACTACGCAGGGAGGTGTAACACAGAATATCACCCACAAGAAATCACCTCAGGCATTACTTTTCGGAACCAATAATGGTCTTTCAGACCCGGTTTCTATGTTGTGGGAAAGTAGTCTGTGAGACCCACCCTCCCGCCATCTATTAATAACACATCCTCCTAGCGTGCACCGCACACCTCCAGGAAACCCTCGTGCACCTCCAGAAAACCCTCCCGATCCTCCCAGAGAACCTCTCATATCCCTCCAGAAAACCCTCCAGCCTCTCCCGTGGCTCCAATGCACCAAGCTTGGGAGCCTTACTCCTCCCCGTTTCGCACTGTAAGTTCTTCTCTTCTTTCCCTCACCATGTCTTCCTCGACACCTCGTCGCACTTGGAAAGCTCAACTTGCATCGTTTGGCCTAGGCTCTCACTTTGAGAAAAGATGAGGACATGCAAATGAAGATGTGCATCCAGAGAACGTGTTTGGCTCATTTAGTAAGCATTTGTTTGTGCCAGCTGGTTGTTCACAAGCTCATGTCTGGCTCAAACGGCACTCTATTAATAATACATCCTCCTAGCATGCACTGTGCACCTCCAGGGAACCCTCACATGCATCCAGGAAACCCTCACGTGCCTCCAGGAAACCCTCGCATGCCTCCAGGAAACCCTCACGTGCATCCAGAAAACCCTCCTGATCCTCCATAAAACCTCTCATACCCCTCCAGAAAATCCTCCAGCCTCTCCTGTGGCTCCAATGCATCGAGCTTGGGAGCCTTGCTCCTCCCTGTTTCACACTGTAAGTTCTTCTCTTTCCCTCACCATGTCTTCCTCGATGCCTCGTCGCACTCGCAAAGCTCAACTTGCATCTTCTGGCCTAGTCTCTCACTTTGTAAGCCCAAGGAAAGCTCAAGACAAACGGAAAACCCAAACATATGTTGAGCTGCCTGGCACAGAGATGAAGCGCCGCCAACTTTTAGATGCAATGGAGCAACTTATGAAGTCGCAACATGAGGAACCATACCTGCAGTTATCTGTTCAAGCTGCACCACCCGATACTGTGACTATGGAACACATGGATGCTGACAATCTTGTTGAATTCCACTCTGAAGATGTGGATGAACAACCATCTCTGGAGATCTCAGTAACGTCTGTCAAACGGCAGATCATACCAGACCAACCCACTAATTCACTGTATAAAAACTGGATTGCACTCATACCAACCCTTGTTGATCCGGTACTCCGGTACTTTGGACAAACACAGGGCAAAGCACTGGAAACTATACATCCAGTCATATCTGCATGTGGGGAGCCTTCGTGTACACCGAAACGGACAACAATGATGTGTTTATTTTTCGATCGTCAGCCCATATCTTGCAGTGTTCAAATTTTTGCTGACATTTATTTAGGCTTTACATCTATAGATGTACTAAGTTGTACCTGCTCGACTCTCCAGCAGGTCCTCGTCCACCATGGTCTATTCCCAACCGCGCCTTCACAGCCTCGGATGGCTGTGTCTGTTGACTTGCTTTCATTCTACCGCGCGTTGTTTGAGCGCTCATGTGACGCGATTAACACACTCGCATCAGCGCTCAAAAATCATTATTTCCGGCGGGGTTACCAGATGACTGATGCCCAGGTAACAATCAGTTACATACTTATATCACTACTGATTCATCAGTGTTTCAGGGTGAAGTTATACAGGACCCCTTCCACCGAGGCCTTGGCTATGCCGTCCAATGGCATGACATCCTGCAAGTTGAAGTTGAGTGCCAAGTCGAGATGGTCATTCAACAACATCGTGATCATATAGCAAAGTTTCAAGTGTCCTCTTGAGTCCCAAATTCGCCTTCACTCACTCAATGCGCACCCCTTCTAGTGCAACGGTGTCCTGCTTGCTTTGCAGGTATACTCCATGGTAGATCCACAGATGAAGGAGGTGACATCCATGTTGCAATGGACAGTAATTTCCATCACCGTCATCGACGTGCTGCTGGAGACTGTCCAAATTTCTATGACCCAACCTATTTTCTGCCCAAAAGCTTTGTTGACGCAATTGGGCGCCATATCGACACTCAACGTAAGCGACCTGTGAAGTCTCACGTGCCCCTCGTCCCCAACGAAGCCATTGACCAATGCGAGAATGCTTACGAGGCTGCTGATGGCAAAAAACAGAAAGCCGCTATGGATAGCTTTGACGACACTGGAATCATGGCCCTTATCTGTCGTCATGACATCCCATTATTTTTTGCCAATATAGACTCACCTGGAGAACAGCAGAAGTATTCAGTAGCTTTACTTCACCACTTCTTTTCATTTCTTCCGCCTGAAGCTACTGTCGTAGCTCTTTACGATATTGGCTGTGTTTTGGCATGAACACTCTCCAAGGTACGTTATGATCCTGGCCGTAACTACTTGCTTACACTATTTACAGTATGACATTCTTCCCATAAATATCACCTCACGCCTTCGATTTGCAACCACTGCAATGCATGCATATGGGCACGAGTGGGCTTGCCAGCTCGTATATAATCCACGAATATGTGTGGGTCTTGGCTTATCCAATGGCGAAGGGACCGAACACCTTTGGTCTCGCTTAGTTCGACTGATAGGTGTTGAGCGCACTTCTAGTGTATGTACTCTATTATTTCCATTATGAACTAATTCATTTAAAACACTGCTTAGCACCAACGCCGTTTATGGCTAATCGATCGGCAAGCAGTGGCTATAGCTTCAGAGATGCGAATTGACCTTGGCGACTGGATCAAACGACGCCTCAGACGGGGCATCAAGGAACAAGGTTGGGCAGCCCAAGACGCGCTAGATCGATGTGGGGTTCCCATTGAAGAATTGCAGTCCGAGTGGTTGCAGCAAAGGCATTCTCAGTTATCTATCCGTGCTCGTAGGTTTTATACATTTTTAATGGCGTGACTATTACTCAATGATATCGCAAGATGCACCCGCCCGCCTCAAGAAGGAGTTGGACACTGTCCTAGCTCTCCAGGCAGATCTGGACACCTCAGACAAAGCATTGCAAACCGCCAGGACGATGTTGGAGAAAGATATGGCTTCAGATGATACTCTAGAGGCTCTCGAAAGTCTAGAGAGGGGACACGATCGCCTGATGAACAAGGTCGAGGCTCTTTACTCTTCATTGAACATTCATGACAGGCTCCCTAAGCTTCATGGCATCAATCTCGAATTTGTTCACATCCTTCTATTGGCACGCGATCTCAAGATGAACGTTCGTAAATGTGCAATTGCAAGTTTCTTTGAGTGGGATAAACTTGATCGAGCAGTAGGTGGCGTCCAGCAAGCATTAGGTAAGTTCATGCTCTTTTGTTAGTCAATGATTTATCAGATTCTTCCAGGCACCAAGCTGCATCAACAGACACGCAAAGCAATTTCAAAGTGTCAGCCTGCACTAATGACCACTATCAGGAGATTCAACTCCTACTGCGAGCGGCTTGATTCGTTGTATGATACATCCTGGGGGATTCCACTGCCCTCACCCCTTCCCACCAAACTTGTGGAACTACGTTCTGACCCAGGACTGATGGAGGATGTATGGATTACGCCATCTCTTGGAGAGGTTCCACGATGGTTAGACGACACATCCATAAGAGATGGTATTTGTGCACTGCTGAAGTGTGACCGGTGTCGAGAGGAGCAGGTTCGGCTGGGCATTGAGGCTGATAACTTGTGCCACTTCTTTGGAAATGAGTTGGCAGCGCTTGAACTTGCCCTTCAGTTGCTGAAGAGTGAGTTAATTATCTTCTCAACTTCCATTTCTCACCCATCCTTAGGTGAGCCTTTCGCTGTTCCATTGCAGCAATGGCATGCCAATTTTATTCGCCTTCAAACATGATGGTCAAATTGCTTAGCTTCTTCAGTACAGTTTACTAATGAAGTCAGCAAGGCAGTGGCCATTGCGACCACTCTCTCAGGAGGCTCGCCAAACATGATGTTTCACTGGATTAATGCTAGCACGCTGGTAGTGCCTGATTCTGAGGGTGGTGATGAACTCCCTATCATTGATCCTGACCATTGCCCCCAAGTCAATTCTGAAAAAGCAGCACTTGCCGATGTCCTGGAGGGTGAGATGGGGGCATTGGAGTTAGATGACGATGACTCAACAAATTATGGGCACAAAGTTAATGCCATGATTTGCTGGAACCTTCCTGATGTACGTTTATCTTTATTGTTAGGAATTGACGCTGACATGTCATAGAATCTCCTTGTGGATGACTTCTGTGTCCCATTGCAAGAGCCAGATGTCCTTGACCCTGCTAAAATTTTTGCACGAATACGACCTTCGCACGATGGAATCCCTCGTCTACTGTTTGAGCCGAAAGACATTGGTATACTCAGTTCTCCTACTGCACGCCTCAATGATATATGTATCAATAATTGCGCCATTCTCTTGTGGTACTCTCAGCTGAACACTTCCGCTACACGGTGCGCGATGCTCTCCACTCATGATCTTCCCCGCATTCATTATAATGCCCCAGACGATATCATCTGGCGCCACACATTGTGGATTCGTTATTGGGAAAAAGATATCTGGGTTCTTCCAATTCATCGTCCATCAGGCATTGGACACTGGGTGATGTGCATCATCCAGTTGTCGACCAAAGAACTTTACCTTTTTGATAGCATGGGTGATAGGACGCCTTGGCAAAGTGACGTCAAAGTGAGTTTAATTTTAAAGTGTCCTTTTCATCTGATTGATTGGCACCTGATATGAAAGCATATAATAAGATTGATTGCTCGGTTCATTGCAATTGCGCGTCAACACGGCCATCATGTTCATATTGATCTTGAAGGGTGGGTGGCTCGACCGTTAAATGTGAGTTGCATGCTTGGCTTTCTTAACTAATCTGACATGATGTATTATTTAGATCAAACATCTTCAGAATAATGACTTTGATTGTGGCCTATGGGTATTGGCTGCAATATTCGCCATTGTACGTGGCAGCCACATAACAGGCCTACATGAGCGGGACATGGACAATCTGCGACGCTATATGTGGACTATGGTTCTTGCATTACCAGCTCTCTCGAGTTACAGTAGTACAAGGTCTACATATATGGATTCTTCCCAGTAATCAGTATATCGTCCTCCCTCTGATAATTCAATATCCTTCGCGCTACCCATTGGTGATAGCATTTGGCCATGACCTTGTGTCTTGTGCATGCCTGCAAATTGCTGACACAAGCATGAAGCTCATCCCAACCTGTAACTAACCGCTGACGCACTTCTCGGATCTCCTTCAGAATCTTGGAGATTTCACCCATGCTATACATGGCTGTATGGTGGGTATGTGATTCCCTTTCTGCGTGCAAGTGACGGCCATGCATCACGTACAAGAGGTTTTGCGTGAAACGGTCTTCCTCTGGTGAGTCAGGTGGAGCTGGAGAGTTGTAAGGAGGGGCTTTGTCCCACTGCAAGAGATCGGATTGATCAATCAAGTTGGATCTGGCGAGAGATTGATGAAAAAGATAGGAATCGGGAAGGGAGAAGGTTGAGCATCGGATTAGTGAAGACATTCGAGGATCATGCAGATCCTCAGATATGATATGAGGCCCACGTCGACCATGACATTTGGCATATGCACGAGCATTCTGAGCTTGTCGAACAATTTTACCTCTGTAAGACATATGATTAACAAAAACAAATGATTGCAAAATACTGACTGTGCTGACCGAGCATATGATGCTTTATGTCGCCGTGCAGCTGCCGATTTCTCTTCAAATGTGAAGTACTTAGCTTTGCGACCCATAGAGACCAGGCAAGTGGGCAAATGGTTTAAACTGTGTGAAGACCAAACTTGATCTTAAGTTCATATTGCGATGTTATCCTGTTAGTAGGCTGTTACCCATCAGAACGCAATACAGCCATCAAACACAAAGTTCTGGCCTTTATTTTTGCATTAGCATGATCGGGCGTACTGTGGAAGTCGACGACACCAGTCCAGACAGCTTGGCTGGCAGTCAATCCCTGTCCATTTGTCTTTTAAATTCAGTGCGATTTGTATTTTCAATCTCATTGGCTCACCAATCACTCCCGGTGACTCGGAGAAAGTCCTCTGAGCCATACTAGTTAGTATATTTCATATTATGTAATATGTTGTCACAGTATGACAAATGTCGAAAGTTCAACCAAACCAAATAGACCGATGCTGCTATAGCATCCTCACTATACCATCCCGCAATTTTTGCATCTGCTGCAACCTTTTGTGCATGTAGTTCCACCATACTCACTTAGTAACAGTCACTGCCTTTGGTGTGCCGGGTGGCGAACAGTGTCGAAAGGTGGAGCTCCAATGTGTCCTCTTTAGTCATGTTGCTTCATGCGGTTTCTAACCTCGTTTCCGCAGTGAATCCCATTACCACCCCACAGGAGCCTCAAGAAGGCCTCCCAATAGCCTCAAGAAGGCCTCCCAGTAGCCTCTATGAACCTGGGCGAAACACTTAACCCTCTTGGGCCTACTAACCCGCGTTCATTTAACACTTTTGGTAAGTCATAGCTTTTCAGCACTACCCAAATTGAAGGAGGCTTCTCCGAACTTAGCATTCCAAAATTTTCCATGGCCTCTTTTTCACGTTATCGATCAACTGTATCTACATTGCACCTTGTCTGCATCCCATTGCAGAATGACCGCAACCATATCCCAGTCCTCGCACTTTGTTGACATTGCCACGCAGACAGACGCGCATTCCTTTACTATCACTCGCCTCGTAAGTCCTTAGTCAGTTTCATATGTGGATTCTACTGATCGCTTCTAGCTTGTGGACATGGCTGTGATGACAGAGGACCCAGGAGTTAGTAGTATCCAAGTCAATGCCGGATGGAAGACCCTCGATGGGATTCCTTGTATCATGGGTGGCCTAACGGCGCTTGTTGGTAAGGTTTGTTGCGTCCTTTTTTTCACTGATCTTGACTTTATTTCAGCATCTGTCAGTGGTACCCTGCGTGGGCGTACCCAAACCGAATTCCCTTGGAAAACCCTGCCCAAGGAGCTAGCTCGGCTCGGATGTTGCCTCGTCAACTACCCTAATGAGACTTTGATGCCCGGCAAGACTCGACCTATGCTCTCTCGGAGCAAAGGCATCCATGATCTGACCCTTCCTCATCATATCAATCTTGTCAATGCGCTCAAGATGGGCACCCTCACCATTCGAGCCGTGACAAATGATGCTGCTCGCACATGCCTTACGATGTCTATGGACCCAGTTATTATTGGAGAAGCACCCTCACATTGATCGATCTACTCCCGCAGGCGACGTGCATTTGCTAATGGTGACATTGATTGCAAGGGTCCTCACTGTCTTGCCTCTCCCCCTTCTACACCTCCCACTTCTACACCACCCACTCGTCCTTCTACACCTCCCGCTCATCCTTCTACACCTCCCGCTCATCCTTCTTCTACACCTCCCACTCATCCTTCTACACCTCCCGCTCGTCCTTCTACACGTGCTGCTCGTCCTGCCACATCACCTACTCGTCATCATGTTCAGGTCTTTGTATAGATATCCCGCCCACCACCCCGGCCAGCTTCTAGGGCAGTCTCCAAAGTAATACCACCATCCACCACTCACACCATATCACGCCTGCCACCCTGGCCAGCCTCTAGAGTGGCCTCCAAAGCAATAACACCGTCCATCGCTCACACCACGGATCTCATCCCACCAATCGCTGCTGTCGAGCAGTCTGCATCTTCTTCTGAATATGTTGATGATGAGACTCTAGATGAGGAGTCAGATGCTAGTGAGAGTGATCATCGGCCTGCCAAGCGTCTCAGATGGTATAACAGCAAATAATCGAATATTAATGTTTTCAAATGATGTAGATAGCATGTTAGTACAACAAATCTTTTCAAATTCGTACTTTAATTTCTGACGTGGCAACAGAAGTAGACCCATGGTTTCATCAATGTTATTTTTAGCTGCAAGATGATATTCATTTCGCGGCCTTTCTGTAGCCTCTTGGACCTCCACTCGGCATATTTGATATCTCGCTGCTTCTACATACAACCATCCTGAGCACTTATCCACGCTTGATCGCTGATGCCTGTGCAGTTCCTGGTGTCTTGGATCACACTTACTATTAGTTGTTATCGCTCCAGGAGTTAACATCCGAAATTCAGGATTCAGGAATCTCATACTCGAGTCGTGATCATCATGATGGGATCCTGCAAATATAGGAGTGCCTGCCGGTGAGTTTCCTGCCTCATCACTCCTTAACTTACTCACAGAATCCCACTAATTTCACTGGTTCTGAATGACATGATTTCACTCATTGTTCGATATTATGTATATTCGCATCACCCTTATGCTCAACGTTATCTGTATTTGCTTGGTTCTGAACCCTCTCGTTAGCCTCTCACACCTCCTGAGACCCTCACTCACACTCTCATGAACTTGTCTGTCTTGGTTGGGTATCTGCCGGTAAGTCTCCTGCTTTCACTTCTTAACGTACTCACAAAATAACACTAGCTTCACTGGTTCTGAACAACACGATCAAACCCATTTCAACGGAACCGCCAGCTCAAATATTTGATTGCAAAGTGAGTCATTTGGCATCATGTATAATGTTATTCTCATTCACTTCATTCTGAACCCTCTTGTTAGCCTGTCGAACTCATGAGAGCCTCACTAGAGCCTCACTCGCACCCTCATGAACCTGTCGGCCTTGGTTACCTATCTGAACAAATTTCAATGTCTTACGTTTGTTTAATTCTGTGCTATTATACCATTCTAACTTGTTTAGTCCACATCAGCTCAAATCAGCCTCATAAGTATCAGAGCGCTGCTCTTTTTTGTTCGTGCCCCTTCCAATTTCCTATCTGATTCACTCTGCAATATCTTGCGCAAATATTGTACAAGTAAGTCGGCACCCTCTCACATATTTATTCTGTCATTGACTACATACTGTAGACATGACCCAAAACATCCCAGATGACCTGTTGTCTCCTCACCCGAGCTACATGGGTCTATCCCCCGATACCTTCGATTACATGCAAGAGCAGTTCGGCGGCGGCCATCGATGCACAATGCCCCCTGTTGAGCTGACTCCCTCGCGACTCAGGAGTAAGCTCAAAGCTACAGCACAGGACGTCGGCCTTGTCAAAGGTGCATCTAGCCGCCGCCAGGCCTATCAAAACCGCACTATGGGAACTCAAGATCCCATATCTGCGCTCCCTGGTGCACCAGACCTACCTCATGTGGTGCCAGGTGGCACTTTAACAAGCGAAATGTCATTGCCAATGGTCCACACAGCTAGTAGTTGCCATGCCTCACCATTTCCTGCCCCAGCGGCCCCTGCACAGCTCCAGGATGTTTTTTTTGGTTCCATGGACCAGCAACGCGCATGGATAGACTCTAACTCTGACGCTTTTAGCATGATGGGGTCTGAGTCTTTTTTAGCTGGAGGATCGCAAAATCACCTCACCGCACAGGGCATGGAGCGCCTAGCACCTCCACCAAGTTACACTTTTCCTGTGAGTTTGTCGGGTCAACCAATGGCTTCTCGTGCATGCTCACTAGATCCTCATGCTACAGGCCAATACCCTTCTGGCTTTACGGAGGATTTTTCTGGCAAAGCCTCACCGTTCATCCTTCAGCCAGTTCCATCGTCGTCATTGTCTCATGATCATCTGCTTCCCCTCCCAACCACAAATGTCATTCCACCAATGCCATTCAAGGATGGTGGCAGCCAGACCAACACCACCACCTCGACAAATACTATTGGTACTTTGCTGAGCGGTTCCAGTTCACAGATGGACTTAGAAGGCTATCCTTCTGCCTCTCATGAACACTTTCCCGAGGAGCACAAGCCGGTGACCCATCAAGAAGGACTTATGGTTACTGGATGCAGGTCTGCAGAGTTGAATGCAGCACTAGAAGCCAGGTTTGCTGCAGTAGAGCGGTGCTTTCTCGAACTATCTGCATCCACCACACTCCCTACTTCTCAATTAATCAACTTGTTCCTGAAGAGTCGTGGACGCACCGTAAACGGCACTAATTATTGGAACCTATATGCCAACTACTTCAAAGAGCATGTCCAGACGGAGCTTGCGTGCATCGGCAGAGAAGCTCCCACTGGAGGTGGCACGCCTAGTAGGTGTCATATTATAACTTGTTGCACAGGAGGTTAATGTTTCTTATAGGTGCAACCGTGCGGACTCAATGTTACGATAAATTCAAAGAGGTTTATTCTGATTCTTACCAAGATATCCTGCTAATGCACGAGGAGGCATCACTCCTCGGATCTTCGCCTCAAACGATAGCCCAGCGTGGACAGGGGTTCCAAAAACATTATCGAAGAGTGATACAAATAGTATGTTTTTTCACCCGGATGTTCTTTCATTCCCTCATGTCGTCATCATAGCTCGAGTCTGCCGCTGTTAAATTTGGCTTTGAAGCGGCTGTCGTTCTCTGCGGCAAAGTGGTCAACGAGGATGGCTCCCTTGGCCACTCGTATAATACACCAGGCGCTGTAGGGGTAAGTTTTTTGTGCTCTACGTCCTGATGTATACTTAAAGATACAGTTCTGGGAGACACAATGTCGCGCGAGCGATGATGCCATTGTCAGGCATCTCAAGGCGCACGTGTAGTAAGTGTAAAGATAAATTATGTTTATGCTATGACTTACATCGAAACAGTAATAGTACATCTTTGACTGTGGTGGATGATGCCTTCAACAATGGCACCCACAATGACCCTTCAACCCCAAACTCGACTCTGAACCATGATCATGACCAATCTCAGGCTCCCAAGGGATGGGATGACGGTTTGAAATGGATCAAACTTGAACTTATTAGACAAGTTGGTACGTTAGAACGTCGCTACTCCTTTTATCCATTTGACCTAAACTACAAATAGCCCAACTGGGGGGCAAGTGCACCTGGGATAAAAATTTTCCCTGGAAGGGCATGTCCAGCGCCCTTGCTGATGCCAACCTCTGTATCAGAGGCTATCCAGCCCATAAGTGCCTTTTGCCCAGTGAAGCTCACAATGAAAACTCAAGGAACAAGGGCATCGGAGCACTGACACAGAAGGAAATTGCAGCACTCATAGATGGGTTGAAGGCAGGAACTATGCAAGTCATCAAAGTTGACAAGGTGCACTGAGGTGAGTTTCGTCTACGTTATACTATGAACTTTCAGGTTTTAACCTCATATGTAGTGGCCATGATGGCCTCTGAGAGGCCAGTCATCACTGGCATAGCGCCACCACCTGAATGGTCACATGATGGCGCTCGACGACTATTTGCTAATGGCAATACTGACTATCACGGCTCAGCTCGTCTCCAGCCTAGCGGTGCAGCTACGAAAGTCAAGAAAGCCACTGATAAGGCACCTCAGGCACCTTTTCGACCCTCCAATGATGACGACAACAATGATTTGGGTGATGATCGCCCGGCAGTACCTGCAGCTCCCAAGTTCCGAAAACCTACCATACGATTAGACCTACCTGCACCACTGCCCTTGCGCCCGTTCAAAGTTGTTGTACCGCCAAACCCACGCCAAGTCAAAACTGTTCGAAAGCCAGAATCAGCTGCAGCAGAGAGCGAGGTTATCGAACTGACTTCAACCGAGGAGAAGGCTGTTGAAGAGTCGGATACTGAGTATGAAGAAGCGCGTGGGAAAAAGAGGAAACTAAAGGCCACAAACACATTGCATGCATTGAAGAAGCTAGCTTCATCCGAGGAGAAGACTGATGCTTCAAAAGCGGGGAAGAAAGGGACACGGGCTCAGACGAAACCACGCAAAGTACCTCCCATGCCGACCTCAACAATCTCTCCAACAAAGGGTGGTCCTCTGTCCCCATTGACAGTGGGGTCATCGAGTGTGGTGGCATCACCGGAACCTGGAAGTGAGTACACTTTATTCTAACTTGACTCCATTTGACTCAAGGCTGATAGCTGTGGCACCAGCATGACTTCGGGATGGACCATCTGATGAGCGGACCAAGGGTAAGCTATGTTCAATCAAATTTTTCTCGTAACATAGCTAATGATTATCTACCCTCCAGTCAAACCGCGCCCAATTGCCAAGGCATCCAAAGGCAAAATGAAGCGTGTTCTTCGCATGGCCTACAGCCAGTCGGATGAATCTGAAGTTGACGAGGGTAAGATTGACGAGGGTAAGATTGATGAGGTCAAGAAGATAGATGTTGTGGTTACCGAGAGTGCCGGTGCCATCTCCCCTGGCTTAGTCAATGTCTCTGCAGAATCTTTACAGGAAGGCTTGACTGAGGTAATGCATGATGACAGGCCAGCAGGAACCCAGCAGGAACCGCCTCAGATCACCAAACCCATTGAGGATCCTCACAATGCCGCTCGCGACTCTCGTGACCCCCACGACCCTCCACATGACCTACACCAAGTTCATCACAAGCTCCCCATATGTCATGATCCTCATGATGGTGTCTAGCAAGACCTTCGCAAGGGTAACCCTCCATGCCACCCACAGGAACCTCATTGGGAGGTCACTCCTGACCCTTGCAACGACCCTTGCAATGACCCTCACGAGGGTGGCCCTCTTCGCAACTCCCACGAGCCTCGTCATGACCCTCGCAATGCCTTTCATGACACTCATCAACCTTTTCGCAGTCATTCCCGTGAGCCATGGTACATGCATGATGCCATGCACCGCCATGAAGTTCATCTGCATGATGAAAGTCCTATCATTGAGCATGATGCTCTCCACTCCCATGATGTCTTCTACCACCGTGACTCTCACAATCACTGCTATGCCAGTTTGCAACCTCGCGACTATTATGGACCCAGTGAGCCTCGCACTGACAGCGAGTTCACCACACGGGATACATCCCCAGCCTTAGAGTCCCATTATGCTCACAGTGAGCGTGAACGTGCATACCCAAGCCAATACAGCCCAGTGCTCAGTCCTGACTATGCTCATGAAAGTCGATATGCTCGATGCAATGGCCTTGACGAGCGCCAGGCATTTGGTGGAGGAGCATACTGTGACAGTGGGTACCCTCAAGGTAGAGCTCATAACCAGGATTCTAGATGGATGGACAATGTCCGTAATGTTGCATCTTCATCTTTGGACTACATTCGTCACGACACTGTCCCGCGAGCATTTACTCGAGACCCCACCAACCCTCTGCATCCTCCTTCATCATAATCGACTTTTGATATGCCTGTGCTATTGTTGTTTGTTGGGTTGCTATTTTGGTTCATCTTCTCATGCTTACTTCGTCTTTTTACGGTGATAACTTACTATGGTGGTTTGCTCATCCTACACTTGACCTGTCCCTTTCGTACCCTAGTACTTATGTAGCTATCCATGCAGTTTTTACGATTTCCTCTTGTTTCGACAATGTCAGTATAGCAGCTCCAATGCCCGCTCTTGTTTGCTTCAGAACATGTTCGAAACCGCCATGAAACTTAAAGATAACGATACTGCGATGTGATATGTTTTATTAAAATGTGACATTCATAACATAAATACAACGCAAAAAGGAAGAAAAAAACATAACATACAATAAAGGGCGGGGAAAAACATAACATATTGTCGTATGTGCGAGAAGCACAAGGGGCTCCAAATCATGTTGATAAGCGGCGAGACTCTTGATGATGTGATGAAAACATAACATAAGTATGAGTGACAAACATAGAGAATATAAAAGGCAAGGGGACAGCATAAGGTATGATGTATCGTCGGAGGAGCATAAGAGGCTCCAAATCATGTTGACTCGGATAAGCGGCGAGACTCTCAATGACGTGATGAAAACATAACATAAGTATGAGTGACAAACATAGGGAATATAAAAGGTGAGGGGACAGCGTAAGGTATGATGTATCGTCGGAGGAGCACAAGAGGCTCCAAATCATGTTGATACACGGTGAGACTCTCGATGACGTAGTGGAGGTTCAGCACCATGATCTGCAATAATCGGAGCCAACCCTCCAATGAGGCCCATGAGGGTACACTTATTACTCTTAAGGAATTGGGGGAGACCCTCCAGGGAGAGGGATGTCTCAGAGACGTGTTGTGTCATACAGGAAAACCGGGTCTGACAGACCGTGAGAAGCACTAGAAAGTGCTGCCAAGGGTGCAAGAAATGGGTGAAATACCAGACGGAGTCATGTTCCGCTTGCGAGGCTGCCAGCCAGGCCATCAGGAGTAAGAAGTAAAGAGAAATTGGTACGTGCAAAACAAACATCACTGTCATTGGTTCTACATCATGTATACCTTTCTACAGGAAGCACAGAATATATGTATATTGAAAATTTGAAACCAGTCTGGAACTTTGAAGGAGACAATGTTGGAGGATGGGTTATGGTGGCTCTCCGTCTTGAGGATATCCGTGGTAGGATTTAGGTTTTGAATAGGATCAATGTCACTTGTCACTTGAGTGAATATTAGTACTGGTAACCGTACTAGTTGGTGTATGTAACTGTTAACATCGTTTCATGTCTCCCCAATTGAAGACAGAATTTGTTCTCGCCTAAGTCCGACTTGTTCCTTATACCCAGTGAAAATCGGTCCTAGCGATATCTACGGCAAACGACGATGATATAAAATATATGCCAGGAATATTGTAATAACTATGCAAATCGATAAATGTAAACAATATGTCAACAACGCTCGATCAATTATCAAATGGGTTTCAAATACACATTTGACAATGTGCTCAGTAAATGTTGAACATGTTGAAATTCTTTCAACTTTGACTTGACTTTGCTCAATATTTCAATGTTTGAACATTCTTGCGCATCAGCTGCGCACGCACCATCACTTCACGCAATGACGTCAATATGCAGCGGACCAATATTGGGACATTCCATCCCTACTCGCTTCATCTCAGCTTTCTTCTTCCCCTCCATCATCTCGTCTTTCTCTCAGCAAAACCTTGCCGTTGACCTCAACCATCCTGGCATCATCTGACACATAACTTTCTCATGGCCACTAACAAGATAAGTATTAGGCTTTTTCATGACTCAATCCATTTGCTGATCCCACCCACTCGACCGTCGGCCATTCTTGTGACAAGTAAGCACTATTCACGGTGCATATATGCACATATTTTGAACATTGTGAGTTATTTGGCATTGTCAGGTTCATTCACTGACTGTTTTACATCATCGCTAGCTCAATACCATTGTCCCGATGATCGACACATCCAGCGGCTTCAACAGATACACCATTACAAGACAGTCAATTGGTGAGTTCCATTAAAAGCTACCTAATGTACTTTAACTGATATCTATTGCTGTAGAACGAGGCAGCTGCCATCATTGTAAGTACTGTCTACTTGCCTGGCAAGTATATTCTGACAATGATTTGTTTCGGTCAAGGACTCCCATGTGCCAGAAGCTAGTGGACTACATCATCCTGATGCGCGGGTGGGGGTGCTATGGTATATAGAGTATTGTATTTGTAATTTTTCATAATACAATTATTTTTGGTCGATTTGCATTGATGAGCAAATATGCACAAGTCAATTGGGAACTACGGGAATATACTAGAATCTATGGTACACAAACACAATCGATGATACAATATCTCGCTCGATGCGAGTTGCTAAACATCGACTATAAGTCTCATTTTTCTCTGGAAATCGACGTGAATATTGTCACAATATTTCCGTTGTTTTCCAGAGATATGGCTAGGACCGTTTCTCACTGGGCCTTATATGTCAGTGGGCCCAGCTCGGCCTGCACAGCTGCAAGCCCCGGCTAGGGCCAGTATGAATCTGTATGATATCGCTGATTCAAAGTTAACTTGCGTGTAGTTCTCCGTACAAAGTTTCCCACACCTTCTGACATACCATCAGTAAACCGGTGAGTTCTTGCTGGGGATTATGCTGATTATGGTGCTTTTACATGGTCATATATTGCTTTATATCACTTTATATTACAATGTGACGAAAACCTTTCCTATATATTACGATATATAACGATATATGACGATATCTTCTTCTCACAGGTTCTCTGATGGCCACTACGCTATTAGTACCAGTGCTAGTGATCACGAAGAACTCCTTCAAACCTGATCCCCAGTGAGAACCGGACCTCACCATATCGACGGAAAACGGCCGAAATATTGATGAGCCACAGACATAAGATTTCCGTAGATGAGCGTAGAGAATGGGACTTATAGTCGATTTTCTAGCAATGCTGTTCGACGGAGATCTCACAATTTCACACCGATTCTCGCATATGATATTTCCGTCGACTATCGTAGATTCTTAAATGTAGTCGTATTGCACAATGAAACTACGGAAATCGCATGAAAACGACACTAATATACATTGCGAGAACAAACGAATGACACCGCAAAAATGAAATATACATAACTATACTACCTGCTGCAGTCTGTCCACCTGGTCCTTGCCAGCAACCCACCTGATGTCAACCGCTGCACCCATGGTGGATGCCAACTAGTATAGGCTGCTGGAAGAGATCTTGCTGATGATGTCGACTACATTGCCATTCCATATATTGTCCTTGACCTGAGAAAAAAAAATGTAAACAGCTGTATCAGGATGAGTGCGCATTTAGTTGAGTTCATTACCAGCTTCAGCGCGTCGGGATCATAATCCTGCAAGACATAAATCAATCATGTGAAACATGTAGTATAGGAGTACGTACCAGCTGCTTCTCTTTCATCAGGCCAGACCAGTAAATCCTGAAATTGGCTGATGAGCCATTTGCGACAATCTGCTTCAACCATCGGTGTGCGCAGAGTGACCTAAGCCCAAAATTCCAGGTCAAAGGTTGATACAATGTTCTAGATCGACACATGACATACCTTCCGTTCTTCGATGTACTGGGTCACTGCAGGATTGGGGACAGTAGATTCGCGTTTTCGCTCAGCAAGCTTCGCACTGCATGTACCCAAGTCAGTGCCAGTTTGAACAAGGTCTTTGAAGACTTACAGAGGGTTCTTGTTATGGGGAAGGAGGTCTACAATCCCATCAGTATCTGTGAACATAATACAAGCACGAGTTGGCGACTTACCATGGTTGCACATGTTACTTATACAGGTGTTTCTGTGTCCTCGGTGCTCATGTCGACAGTGTCATTGCCATGATCGAGACAGTCTTGGGGAGTGGTATCTGCTGTGTTTGCATGTATGAAGCTTCCAGAGAGTTGCTCGTGTCATGAGTAATCGATAATCAGCGAAACACAGGGCACAGGAAGAGACACGGGCCCAGGACCAGATCAACCTGGGATGAAGCCATCGTACTAGTATGTAGTTGAAAGTAAGGACGCGCGTCGCGTACACTTATCAAGTTAAAAACAACACAAACAAGTGACAAGTGATTCGAATTTCGCTGTGTTCGATTGATTGATTGACCTATGTCTGCAAAAATGTGCAAGAAAATATTGACAAAATTGTGTGTTTGCTTCTTTTGATCGAGACGACGCACGTCAACTTTCTCGATAATATGCTGAATTCACGATTTGCGTAGCTTTGACAATATTTGTAAATATATCCATCGTTTTCCGTCGATACGGTGAGGTCCGGTTCTCACTGGGCCTGATCTCTCACAGCACATATGGGCGATGTCGATGATGATCGAATGTCTACATTTTCGTACGATGGAGACGGCGAACCAGATTCCTTTAGCCTTGCCGAATTGCAATCGGTCGTTGATCTTCATTTCTTGACAAGCTGCAAGCTGGAGAAACTGGCTGAGGGAGGTTATCATAAGGTCCGTCTGGCATTACATAGCACAGGTTATGTTTGATATTTTCATAGGTATATGATATATTGCGATCGGATGGTGCTCCTCTTGATGCTGTCGTTCGAGTGGCCTCTCCTGCGTTTCCAAAGGACAAGCTTGAATCGGAGGTAGCTAGGAATACACGTTGTATGTTATTCGTATTGGTATTGAAAACTCCACGTTCTTTCAAAAGGTTGCGACGTGCAAGATGATCGCTGCATTCACAAATATACCTGTTCCACGAATCCATGCATGGAACTCTGACGCGTCGAATCCTGTTGGAGCGGAATACATGATCTTGGATAAAGTAGGTTGCCAAATCTAACGTGTCCCGTCTGGGATGTTTCACTCACATCGTAAACTCAAGATTAAAGGGACCCCTGCTAGCCATAGCTGGGGGGATCTCTCCGAAGAGGTCAAGAAGACCGTGGTGTCGCAGGTTGCACGCTATTTCTTGGAGATATTCTCTCTTCGATTTGAAAGCGCAGGATCTCTCTACTTGAGCCCTCTTTCACCTCAATTCCTCGTCGGACCTGTAATCAGCACGCCGTTCTACCGTGCTCTCGATGGCGTTGTCCGAGTTCCCGACGCGCCCATCTCAAAAAACGACGATCCCAACAGAGGTCCTTTCTCTACCGTAACTGAATATCTTTCAAGCAATCTACGGGCAGAACTGGATTTCATCTCCAATCACCGTTCGGTCGTTCTTTCGGAACTTCACGAATGCGACCCTACTAAGTCGGCAGAGAGCCAACTTGAACTCGGGGAGCGTGTTATGAGAAAGGCTATTGATCTATGCTCTGTTTATCCCGGTGATACGTTAGTACCTGCCAATATCACCACTCCACGAAGACCATTCTCCTTAAAGTTGGACGACTTCCGTTTATCAAATGTCATGGTACGTCAATGCATGACCCTCATGATGCTTATCTTCAACGCACGTGCGTGTGGTAGATCGATACCGGCTCAGGTCGAGTGACTGGCTTTATCGACTTTGAAGCAGCTACCATCGCGCCTCTATGGGAATGCGCAGTGATCCCACGATGGCTTCAAGACGCGGATGACCCAGAATCCAGTTACGAAGGCGGAACCAGCGAAGAAAGGAATGTTTTGCGTGCTGCTTTTCTTTCAGCAATGGAAGGGTCTGCCCGATACCCAGAGTGGAGAGAGGCGTATGACATGGGTCGTCCTTTCCGTCGGCTTACAGACCTGTTGTCCTTCCAGGTCAGCGTTTGGGCTTCTAATGACTGCGAGATCTGGGTGGACGAACGTCTCGAATGGGCTGAAACTCACCCCGGAATTGGATTGCCTGAACAGACTTGAACTACAAATTGGCACCTCAATCTGAATACTTCTTGATCTCGACCATTGACAATACTAGAGCTGCAGATGTGCTGTTTCTGGCATCAAGGAGACAAGATCGCAAGAGTCGACAAGCACGAAGAACAATATATCAAATGACGCACACTATTCTGCGGACACATCACATATACATGTCAATTTATGGACGAGTCAGATGCTATCAGATAATCCTGGACTATTTGACTAATCTTGTCAGAAACGCCGGTCAGAATGTCTATCGTCTCTTTCTGATGGAAAATGTTAGAAAGGTCTGTCATTGATGAAAGGCAGACTTGGACTCTTACCCAGACAGTGTCCTGCATTTCATGACCCTCGTCGCTCAGCACGAAGTCGGCGACCTCCACAAGGCGACCACGGCTTACGAATCCGCCTTTCATATTCTCTTCATCGTCTCGTCCGCCCACCGCCCCAAATACGAGCTGACGGCTGCCTTGTTCAGCCGTCCACGCCAGGAGACGCTCCTGAATAGCGAGCGCTATTTTGACAAATGAAAAGGTCGGTTTCTCGTACCAGGCACGACGTAGTTGTGAATAACAGAATCCTGGCGTCACGGCTACGGCAGTCAGTGGTGTGACGGATTGCAACCTGTTCGCCAAGGCACGAACGAAGAAGAGGTTGAACACTGGTTGAGTTTGTCAGATTGAAGTGGGCAGAGAGCATAGGAGGCACATACACTTTGACTCTTGATACCGGGATTGCATGTGCCTAAGAGATCAAGTGTGAGATTTTCATATGAAGGTAAAGTTTGATTTGTTTGCTTACTCGGGGATGCACCACTCTTCGCTGCTCAGCGTTTCAAGGGGTTTCGAGGAAGTCTTGATCTCTTTTGCGGGTGTGAGCCAGTAGAGGACACCACTGGATACAATTACCATCCGTGAAGGTGTTGAAGACTTTCTCCCCGCAGCAACTAGTTGCGGAATGAGGAGCAACGAAAGCAATGATGTTGCTAGATAATTGACTTGTAGTCTGAAGGGTGAATGAGCCATAAGTGCGTGCGGAAAAATAAAATAGACCAACATGGTCTCCCAGCCATCAGCGGTGGGTTGATAATGGGGCAACGCGATCGCTGCGTTCATAACCAGTATATGCAAATCACCGCCCTCCTTCTCGAATCTATCAGCAAATGCGGTGACTGATGCAAAGTTGGCAAGGTCGACTGTCCAGAGCTCGCATCCATTGTATCTTGTCTCTTGTTCGATTTCTTCAAGGTCGGAAAATAGAAGTCAATCATCTCACATCAAGTTCGATTTAAACGGTTGTACATACCAGCCAAAGCGACCTTCCCCTTAGCCTCGCTACGACAGGCAATTATCAACCGCGCTGGTCGCATACGGGCGAAGTGTTTTGACGCCTCGAGTCCAATGCCTACATTGGCACCGACGACGAGAACTGTTTTCCCAGATAGATCAGCTGTCTCCACTGAGAGCACCACCGACCATTGATCAATCACATATGCGAGAGTCGACTTTTTCATGATGATTCGGAAGCTTTGTTAGATTCGAAGAGAGCCCATTCGAAAGACTTGAATAGTACTACACCCCGTTCGGCACACCGCATCATGCATTACGGAGGGGCTGGTAGTGATCACTGCATTACTCTTGCTAGTGACTCGTGAGTAATCATGATGATGAGTGGTTAAGGCCTGCATCAAACGAACAGGATAGCTCCATCATCCTCCTTGGTAAGCTCAAGACGCAAACAAGCGCCAGTGCTTGTATCAACTGCAAAAATGTGTGTTAGCTAAGATGGTACTATATACCGTACGGCGGCACTGGTTGTTTGTCCATGACACTATACCCTTTAGTCATGCACGGGTAATCTTGCTGACAATGCTTAAGTAAGCCTGTGCTGGACAATGATCCGATCGACCAGCGCTACTAGAACGACGTTACGCAAGAGGTCCATCTTGGATAAGGTAAATATAACGTGTCCCGTCTGGGATATTTCACTCATACATCGCGCACTCAAGATTCAAGGGACCATACTAGTTGGGGGGTCTTTCCGAAGAGATCAAGAAGACTATGGTCTCGCAAGTTGCACACTATTTCTTGGAGCTATTCTCTCAGGCTCTTCGATTCGAGAGCGCAGGATCTCTCTCTACCCGTCCCCTTTACCTCAATTCTTCGTTGGACCAATAATCAGCATGCCGTTCTACCATTGTCCGAGTTCCCGACGCACCCATCTCGAAAAGTGTCGATTTCAACAGAGGTCCTTTCTCTACCGAGCAATTTTACGAGCAGAACTGGAAATCACCGTTCGGTCGTTCTTTCGGAGCTTCACGAATGCGACCCTACCGAATTAGCAGAGAGCTGACTTGAACCGGGGAGCGTGGCTATCGAGCTATGCTCTGTCTGTCCCGGTGATACGTTGATACCTACCAACATCACCACTCCACAAAGACCACAAATTGATACCCGTAACTCTTCAATCTGAAATACTTCTTGAGCTCGACCATTGACAATACTAGAGCTACAGATGTACTGTTTCTGGCATCAAGGAGACAAGATCGCAAGAGTCAAAAGTCAAAAGAACAAGATATCCAAAGGCGCACACTATTCTGCAGACACATCACATACATGTCAATTTATGGACGAGTCAGGTACTACTAGATAATCCCGGACTATTTGACCAATCTTGTCAGAAACACTGGTCAGAATGTCTATCGTCTCCTTCTGATGGAAGATGTTAGAAAGGTCAGTCATCGATGAAACTTGGACTCCTACCCAAATAGTGTCTTGCATTTTATGGCCCTCGTCGCTCAGCACGAAATCGGCGACTTCCTCGATGCGACCAAGGCTTACGTAGCCGCCTTTCATAGTCTCTTCATTGTCTCGTCCGCCCACTGCAGCAAATATAAGCTGACGGCTGCCTTGTTCGGCCGTCCAAGCCAGGAGACGCTTCTTAATGGCGAGCGCTATTTTGAAAAATGAAAAGGTTCCCTCGCTCCAGACACGCAGTAGTTGTGAATGACAAAATCCTGGGTTCACGGCTACGACACTGAGTGGTGTGACGGATTGCAACCTGTCCGTCAAGGCGCGAACGAAGAGGACATTCAACACTGGGTGAACTGTCAGGTTGAAGCGAGTAGAGAAGGCAGGAAGCACGTACGCTTTGACTCATGATACCGGGATTGCATGTGCCTGAGAGATATTAAGTAAGAGATGTCCATATGGTGGTAGAGTTTGATTCGTTTGCTTACTCGGGGATACACCACTCTTGGCTACTCAACATTCCAAGTGGTTTCGAGGAGGCCTTGACCTCTTCCGCGGGCGTGATCCAGTAGTGGAATCCACTGGACACAATTACTATTCGTGAAGGTGTTGAAGACATTTTCCCCGCAGCAATAAGTCGTGGAATGAGGAGCAACGAGAGCAATGACGTTGCAAGATGATTAACTTGTAGTCTGGAGAGTGGATATAAGCAATAACTGCGGGCAGAAAGATAAAATAGACCAACACAGACTCCCAGCCATCAGTGGTGAGTTGGTAGTCGGGCTGCACGATCCCTGCGTTCATAACCAGGATATGCAAATCGCCGCCCTCCCTCTCGAATTTATCAGCGAATGCGGTCACTGATGCGAAGTTGGCAAGGTCGACTATCCAGAGCTCGCATCCATTGTATTTTGTCTCCCGTTCGATTTCTTCAAGTTCAGACAATATAAATCAATAGTCTCGCGTCAAATTCACTCTCAAAGATTATACGTACCAACCAAAGCGACCTTCCCCTTGGCCTCGTTGCGACAAGCGATTATCAACCGCGCTGGTCGCATACGGGCAAAGTGTTTTGACGCCTCGAGTCCAATACCTACATTGGCACCGACGACGAGAACTGTTTTCCCAGATAGATCAGCTGTCTCCACTGGGGGCACCACCGTCCATTGATCAATCACGAAACCGAGAACTGACTTCTTCATGATAATTCGGAAGGCTTGTAATGGATTCACAGGGAATCCATTCGAACAGCTTTAATAGTACGCCGTTTGGCACCCCGCATCATGATATGGCATCATGGAGGGGTCAGCAGTGGTCAATGAATTGCATCGAAGATGATGCGAATAAGGCCTATATCCGACGAATAAGATAGCTTTATGATCGTAGGTATGCCGAAGACGCTGATAACTGCTTTGATCAACTGCGAGAACACATGTCGGTGGTATTGTGTTGTAATCAAGACTAGGAGATTTTCAAAATACTGATGTTTCTGATGGATGCAGACGAGTTGGTACAAGATGCGGGGATCTCCTAAGTTCATGTGAAAAACTCAGAAAGAAGCGCGCTACTTCGAATGCTTTGTGAGCAGACGCGTGTTCTCGGCTTGCAAATCTCAACCGTTGATATTTTGGTACTTTCCAGATCTTACGACACTGTATTATTTACGGAATAATCTTACATAAGCGACTGACAATGTGATGGCATCAATTTCATCGTGATCATAGGACCACTTTAGATATAATCACGTTTGATACAGAATAAGTCAACTCATAAGTCACTCAGTCAAGTACTCGATTATCCGCTAGCCTTGGCTACATCTCGTTCAGCCTTGGCCTTGGCAGCCGCTTCAAGCTCAGTGAACGTGCCACTCTTGAGGCACATCGTCCTGAAAATGCCATCCTCCTTCTGGATCAAATTCAAAGGTGTGTCGAACTCCGCAACCTGGTAGTCGCACATGAGCGTGAGTCCGCATAATCTATTAGAACACGCACCACTCCTGCATCAAGCACAATAAGACGGTCGTAATCAATCACGGTGCGTAATCTGTGCGCGACTAAGAAACCATAAATATACACATCAGCAAATGTCAGCTAGTCTCCCAAAGTAGATCACTAACCCGTGAGTAATAAGGAATCCGTGAACTCCTCCCTTATCGTCGCCTGAATTTTGGCGTCGGTGCTAAAATCAATGCTACTTGTTGCCTCATCAAGCACAATAATCGAGCTTCGCCTGAGCAGCGCGCGCGCCATCGCGATGAGCTGCCGTTGACCCTGCGAGAAGTTTGTGCCACCTGCGGACACCTGGGTATCGAGCGTGACGGTCGTCTTCGACTCCACGTCAGTGATAGCCGTCGATGCAACAGAAGAGGCGACATCGTCAGGCGTGGACGCACGAGATGGTGCGCGGGAGGTATGTTGAGATTGGTAAGCACTTTGACTGAGCATTTGCACGCGATACAGCACGTCCAGACATTCGCTATCTTCGTGTTCACCTGAAAGGGGTTCGGCATCTATGTACCACAAGCAGAAATGTCAACTCACCGAACGGATCAAGGTTATCTCTCAATGTGCCCGAGAACAGAGTCGCATCCTGCCATTAGATCAATCTCATGCGAGGCACGGCACCACAATACAGACTCACCTGGGGAATGAAAGTCTGACATACAAGTTAGCAACAGGGTACACACAAGTAATATATTAGAAACTCACCAAACGAGAGCGAAGGTCATGGACACCAATCGTAGAGATATCAATCCCATCGATCAAGATGCGACCACTGACAGGATCGACCTAACACATCATCTCAGCAAACATAATCCGTCCTTTATCAAGCATCACCTACAAAACGAAGAATACTCATCGCCAAAGTCGACTTTCCACTACCTGTGCGTCCCAAAAGCCCAATTCGCTCTTTCGCATTCAGAGTAAAGGAAACGTTATGCAAGACGGGAGGGAGCTCAGGGGAGTATTTGATGACCAGGTCCTCGACGGTTAGCAACCCTTCCTTCGTCGAGCTAGAAGGCCAATAAGCAGGAGGACGACTAAACTCGATGATCGCAGGAGGTTCTTGGGGCAAATCGAGGTATTCTACAACACGCTCGACGGAGCTGAAAGGGCGAGACGGATGCACATGAGTATAAGAACATCATACATCATATCCACATACTTTAGATCAAGCTCAAGTGCAGTCCAGAACCGACAGGCCCAATAGACACTGGTAGTAAAGGTCATAGCACTCGTGATACACAAACCCGCGGTACCAGCTGAGACATAGCCCGATAGCGCAAGGAGAGTAGTGGCCAACACAGCCAACCCACCGAGCGCATCAAAGTTCAACAAGAGCCATCGATTCGTCATCCAGAAATTGTACCACATCTGTCATAACAACCGTCAATGCCATCGTACAGTAAAATCAAATTCGAGTCTACCTTAGTAGTAACGTCGATCTTATCGTGCAGGTCATCCAAAAAGCGCTCTTCAGCAGAGAAGGCCCGAACCGTAACAATACCCTCAAGTAACTCGCCAAAGCCAGAGAAGATAGGCGACCGAGAATTAGACTCCATACGACGAAGATCTCTGCCAGTCTTCAGATACCCAAGAGCTAATAGGCGGTAGAAGAAACCTATGATCACAGCAGGGATAAGGAAAATCGGGAAGAAAATACTAGGGGGTTGTATGAGTATATGACTTGTCGAGATATAAGCAGTGACTTACACGACGGTGAAAATCGCAGCCGCAAACGTCGCCAATGAAGAGTTGACAGCTGATAGCGAGCTCGCGAGATTAGTGTCGATAGTTTCAATATCCTAGAGACCACTACGTGTGAGTTGACGATCCAAAACTACAGTGCTTTTAATCCCACCTTTCCGAATCTATTGAGCATGCGACCAGCCGGGGTGACATCATGCCAGCGCATCGTGGCGCGCACGACACCCGTCAAGAGCTTGCGGAAAATAGATCTTGACGCTTTCAACGCTCCGGTGTACTGAATAGAGATCGACAAGATGCCCACTGCCGCGGTGGCGAAGCCGATCAGCCCATAAATACCAACGTAGTATAGTGGATGTTCATGAACGTCAGGCAACGTGATGGGGCCGAAGCCAGTAGTGTTCACATGGAAGTAGCTGTTCGAGTAGTGTTGATAGTCATGGTAGGACATGTAGCCGTTCATCAGCACCTCATTCTCGGTCAATACAGAGGACGGCATGAAGTACGGAGCTGGCTCGGTGCCATCGCCGTATGCTTGACCCCATTCCTATAACAGCATAAAGTACCAATAATGAAGAAGAGAGTATCGACTAACCCGAACCCAGAGCTTCTCAATCACACCTAAGCTCTGCGAACAAACGATGAGTAACCCAAGCATAAACCATGTCCAGTACGACCTGCCCCGTAGTCAGCCTACGCAACACCTGAAATGTAACGAGACCCTTACGATGCTTTCAAGTACGCATTGTAGATTGCCCACTTGACGCCTCCAGCCTCCCGGTGTTCGTCCTTGACAAGCTTTCTAGGCTTTTTCTTTGATTCCACAGGCGTGTCTGCCCCATCGCTGTCCTCCTGCGCTTCAACAGGGACCTCAAAGGCTGCGACAGATTCCTCTTCTTTGGCTTCTGCAGTGGAGTCCTGCGCAATGTGGTCCAGAACGCCCTGCGCACGGAGATCCTTGACAGTGCCCTGGGCATCGATGCGACCATCCAGTATGCGGACGAGGTAATGAGTGCCAGGGAGCACGAGCTCCACGTGGTGAGTGACTAAGATCTGTGAACGGATTTAACACCGGGTTGTATCATCGTGAATGACAGACATACCACCGTACGGTTCGCCATCAACGGTCCGCGGAAGAGTCTATCGTACAAGAACCGCGCAGTGTGACTGTCCTATTCGTAACATAAGCACGAGGGTAGCATATGAACAGATAGATAGTAACACTCACCACAGCACTTAATGGATCATCCAACAGGACATACTTGGTGCGAGCATACACGGCGCGAGCAAGTGCAACACTGAATACCATGAGCATCCCGAACAAAGATCTAAAACCCATGCCTCACCGAGCCTTTTGGCCACCTGACAAGCTGACCCCCCTAGAGCCAATCTCAGTATCGTCTCCATCCTCCAAGATATTCAAGTCCGGCTGCAGCGCACAGCACTCGACAACATCGTTATACCTCTCCTCGTCAAAAGGTTGCCCAAATAGAATGTTGTCTTTGATGGACTGGTGGCGCAGCCATGGTGATTGAGCGGCATATGAGATTGAGTGCATAAGTCCATTCTTGTCGATCTTCGACGTATTTTTCGAGATAGTCAGTTTGCCGCTGATGGTAGTCATCTCGCCCAGCAGTGCCATCTAACAAAGCGTCGTGTAAAATTTAGATTCAATGGAAGGAACTTTACTCACGAGCAAAGCAGTTTTGCCACTCGCCGTCGGTCCAGTAATCACAGACAGCTCGCCCTCGGGAAACCGTACCGAAATATCCTTGAGCTCGAATCTATGATCTTCGGGCGACGAACGGATGGACCCGGCCTCGGAATCGACAGCAGTCGCAGTTTCGTCACTCGAACTAGCACGAGAGTGGCTTTTGCCCTTGCTTTTTGTATTTTCCTCAGGTTGCTCGGGAACTTCGTTCCACTTGAAGAATCCATTCTCAATCGAAAGGGTATCATCCTCTTCATCGCTATAGGGTGCGCGAGCCCTCTTGATGGAAGACACCTGATCATCGACTTCGTCCTCTTCGAGGTACTTCTCGATACGTTTTAACGCAACGCCAGTCTGAAAGCCCGTCATCAGATACAACGCTCTAAAAATGAATGATGCTATCATACCTGTAGTATTTGAACAATCCAAGCTGGGATAACATTCAACGGCTGACTGATGCCCGCATAAGCCAGAGAACGAGATAAATGTATCATTAACTACTTACCGAATCATGCTGAACAACGCGATAGACTGAAAAACTGCATCAGCAATCTCATCTTATTTCCAGTCATCGGACTCACCGTGAAAGCAACCGACACAGTCAGCTGGTTGCCTTGGTACACGAAAGTGAAGAATGATATGAGCGACACCAAAATAGGAGCAGAGGTCCAAATCAGGGAGAACATCACTGAGTTGATCCGAGCTAGTGAAATGGCGCGTTAGCCGATTTCCAAAAAATGACGGTGCAGCTACTTACCCTTCACCATCCAATTCATCTCCACTCCTCGTGCATCCATAGCCCGTTGAATCCAGCGGTCTTCCCACGCGAAGAACTTGATGAATTTGACAGCTCCGATGAGCTCGTTAAGGACAGCCATGCGTTTGTCTCGCGAAGCAGAGACACCCTTGTGAATACGGACGCTGCGTTTAGTGACAAAGCTGTTCAGGGGCCAGCCAGCGAGGAGAACGACAAAGCCCGCAAATGCAGATAGACCGAGAAGACTGTAAATAGATGGTGAGATGCTTCAACTGATTGACACGAGTGGACTTCCTTACTTGTAGAGGAAGGTCGTTGCAATGATAATCTCGAACGGAGCTATCAATAGCGATGAGATCAATTACCAGACAAGGGAGGACAAACGTAGCTGACCTCCATAGATAAAATATGCGCCAGATACCATCATGGCAATCCTGTTTGCATCTACAGCCATCAGATTGACAATCTTTCCAACATCCGCGCCAGCCTTGGGGTCATCCGAGGTCGCATTCTCAACAGGCTTGATTCCCGCTTTTTTGTCGGCAGCCTCCTTGGCTTTGTCCTTGTCAATGATGCCTGAGTAGTCCTGACGCTTGAGAGCTTTGTCATAGATGGCAGCCATCAGCTCTACACGCATCCTTGTCGCCGCTCGCCGTCCGAACCACAGGTGTTGGACATCAGCTTCTGCCTGATGGGACGTAAATGAGAGCTCCCGAATAAAAGACCTAGATACATACCTTTAGCAACGTGCACAGGAAGGCCAAGAAAGCATAGATGTATGCTTGGAATCGGTCCTCTGCGGAAGATTCCTGGATAGCATCAAGGATACGCCTGGAAATCGTTGAGCTCAGTAGCAATTAATACAATAAGAAGCAGTACTCACTTTAAAAGGAATGGCGAAGCGTAGGCGAATATGACGCTGACATAAGTCAGCAAGAAATCCAGTCTGACTCGAGCGTTGAGTGAAATTTTCAGTGAAAGAGGACAGAGGCTCACAAAAGATCTTGCGAGTTGGCAGCCCACAGACGGCGAAGGAGAGAAGAGTGACTGACATTCAACATCAACGAGTGGTCATCTCGTAGCATGATATATACGCACATGATGGTGCTGAACTTGATGAACACTGGGCGGGATTGCTGGGTGGGACTAAGTTTCCAAACGTCATCCTCGCTCATGGTCATGTTCGAACCACGAGTGATAAGTGGGTAGACCCATGAGAACGTTATCCACTCCCACATAGTGGCATAATCTTCAGGAGAGTACTTGACATACTATGACGCGGGTAAGGAGATAAGCAAGTGGGCAATAATTAAAAAGATGGCGGCCTACAATATCTTCCTTCTTGATACGGTTGCTTGGCAGCTCAAAGGGCATATTTCCTACGATGGTCAGGAGCACCAGAATAGCGATGAGATTGGAAACGAGGCCCAAGAATGGGAGCTGAGGCAATGGGACACCGAAAACCTCATACTCGTACAAAGTACCACCGAACAGGATGATGCCAAAGACGAAGTGTAGCACAAATAGGGAGAAGAGATCAAAGTGGATAGTCGGTTTGGGCCAGAAGACAGGCTTGCAGGAGGCATATATCCAAGTGGCAGCAATGAGAAGTTGAGCGATACCTGGCCAAATATAAGCCTTATTCATGATGATGCTGTATGCACCGGCAGCAGACCAAACGAGGGCCTCGACCAAAGCGACAAATGAGAGTAGTACGGTGCGCCATAAAGGAACGGTATTGTCGATGACAAGGTCATCTGTTTTTTCCCCTTGATTATCTAGAGCTTCGGCCTCGCGCAAGGTCAAGAAACTGCGAAAGGGGGATTTAATAGCGGTAGCAAGTGGACGAGCGAATGCAGGAATGCGGGGTATGGTGAAGAGACACAAGGCTAAGACGAGCGCAGCGGGTACAATCGCCGCAAGGGAGGTGCGTACGCAGGCATCTGATAAATCAGGTTCATTGATGCCTGGGCATAATTGAATCACCATTGGTCTCCAGAGAAGCTTTGGGACAGGCTATCCCGTGCACTTTCTGAAGTGGTAGTGGTAGATGTGGTGGACAGTGGTGAGTGAACCTGTTGAATCCTAGAGTAACGGTAAGGAACACGTTGAACGTACGCTTGTTCAACTATTCGGTCAACGCTTATTGGAACAACTCATTGCCATTACATAAACGGGGCCAATAATGATATAATACGTAAGTAGTCATATGCAACGGTGCGCAGTATCAGCGCTGATACTGATACTGCGCAAGATTGCCGCGGACAGAGCAAACTTACTAGTATCACCGGGCACGCAAAATTGCCGCGCGTAGCGGGGACAGGCTGCGTCGAGTACTGATATTAGTATCTCAGCACGCAAGATGCGGCAAGAATGAATCTGACAATCTTTTCGCACAGATTGCCGGTGGTCCTTTGACAGTGCATATACGACACAAGTGCCCCGGCAAATATATATTTTTATCTCGAACACCCATCATCGCAGCACCCCTGACGCGCCTGTTCTCCACTCCCAGGCTCTGTTTCCACCCTTGGGAACTCTGTCATTTTCAAGGAACTTTGCCCGCCATTGTTTCATCAGCTGTCGCAATCTTCCACTCCCCTTAAGTGATCGGCACTACAACCGAGTCGCTATCAAACGAAGCGCATCCTGCAAATCGCGTATTGCGCGAACTATAAACGCGGAGATGTTTGACAATAGCTCGTGACGGCCGAGAACAAAAGAAGCTTTGAAGAGAAGCAAATTAGAACAGATGTAATTGCGGGTAATGAACATATGTGGGGTATTCTGAGGGCACATGCGCAACTGAATGTGGGGGACAAGCAAGGACGCGTACAACACAGCACGGTACTTCCCAAAGGAACATCGCACTCTACTGGACGGGAAGAGAATATATGGCTTATGACAAAACCAGTGGAAAACAGAAGTCGACGAAGCTGACGGGGTTAATGTTCAAATTCAAATAGAAGGACGGAAGGTTCGGAGCATACCGAATTCTTGTCTCCACATGAATCCCATACAACTCTCCAATATTCAATACCATAGCATGGGGGAGGCGTTCCTGAAAGCGAGTGTTTGCGTCGAGATGCTGGGCAAACGGGTTCAAAGTTGCGCGTGCCACGCCGTGGGAATTTCCTATTTGCACGACAAACGATCTTTGTCCAAATATTCGTCCCTGATGCACATGCTACATCAAGCTGCTAAAGGCCTTTTTCGTCCCAAACAAAAATACTATCAACTTGCCTTCAACGTGCTGCATGTTCCACTCGCCACTGATCAGAATGAGCAGATAGGATCCTTCTAGTGAGTATTATGTATCAGCACCATCGCCTACCAAGTATGCTATCCCATTACATCTTGACCCTTCCGATTCACCGAGGTATCTGATCAGATGATCTTACTATCTGAGATAAGAAACCATCAGTTCCAAGCATACACTACAAAACCTTCCCCAACGGTGGTCGTTCCAGCATCTAGCACAACATGACATATTTATCATTCGATTGCACACACAGTCGCAAACTTCAGTCCCACCAGATCGTCATCGTCTTCCCGATGCGGGTAGTACCCAGCAATCATGGTTTGCAGCCGGGACCTGCATCCATCGCCCCGGCCGGAACCTGGACAGTGTAGCTCCTGAAGTAGCCATTTGTGGCAGAAAGACAAACTTTCTGCATCTTGATTTCCGGTATAGGCCAACATCTGTTTCGACATTTTGCCCACCCGTTCAGTGGCGCAACTTCCAGTATAAGTCCAGCAGGCTCACTCTCAAAAGACCTCTTCCACTTTCACGTCCTGTGACATGGACGGAACAAACATTGACCCTCCATATATTGAAGACCCAAAGGTGAGCAACATCGAGCGCCTATATCCACGTCCTTGCGGAGCTTATACTGTCAAAAAAATTCCATATTCTTCGCCCAACGTCACGGCAAACTCATAGTTGGCCTGACTTAGCAACAGTCGACCTGAAACTGCACTAAAAATCGTCAGGGAATCTGACACCATGTTCTACTAGTATCCGCGCCACTGATCTGATCCGCCGCTGCACGTGTCTGCAAAGCGGCGTTGTCTCACTAGAACTCCTATGCCGTCAAGTCACGAATTCGAGTTAAATCAACGATATCGATGTCACCTCGAAAGGCAAACACGGCGCATCATGTCCAACTGTGCAACGTTGACAGTAACGAGATATCGAAGTACAGTTATCGCCAGACAATAATCATACTAATCGCTGTGCTAATATGCCGTCAAGTCAGGATGCCGAGTTAAATCAACGACGTTACCTCGAAAGGCGAACTCCGCGATGTCCAGCTGTGAAACGTTGACAGTGACGAGATATCGAAGTACAATACATTCAGACAAGATTCGTACCATACGCCGATGGGAAGGCACCATGCTTGATTAATATATACAGTGATAAAATAAACAGCATTCATAGCAGGCGTTGTGAATAAGGGATTTTGCTCACTAAGATGTAGATGCGGTAATGATCATCATTCAACAATCTCCTAGGAAGTTCATCAACACGTTCACATCACCCTGACGTGACTTGAGTACATGATCGGATCCATGTACACTCAGTTCAGTGTATCAATTCATCAGTAGCGTGCCGGGCATCAGCTCTTGTTTTTCATGGTACCCTACCACATAAGTGTTCTGTAGCTATTTTTCCGTTTCTCACTTCTTTCTCTTCATCTTTTTCCACCATGTCTTCTCTCTTGACTCCTAATCGGCCCGAACAGCCGGTTATCTCTTGTTCTAACGAAGGGGTGTCGTCTTCGGACGATCACAGTTTGCCGCGTGGTAACCCCAGGCAAGTCAAGGACACTAAGACTCCCGACTCCCTCCCCGAACCGAGTTGTTTCGACATGCTCAATATTTTGAGATCGAGGTTTTATGTTGAGCGTGAGACCTTGTGGTCCTGTGTGACCATGGCTACGAAGGATGAGGCTGGCTGCCTCAACTGGATTACGCTGCGAGTCGCTGAACATCATAAATATGTTTCAGTTGCCACTTCTCTTATTCTCGGCGGTGTTCACCGCCCTTCGCTTATTCCTATGGTAAAGCGAACACTTTTTGTATTTCTCCTTGAAGTACTGTCTGGCGAAGATTCGTCTTCGTTCCTGAAGCTGCAAAGTGGAAGGGTCCTCGATCAGAGGGCACAACAGGAAAAGAGGCGCCTTGCAGTGAAACGGAAACGGGCTGCTAAGCGTGAGCGGGTAAGGAAAGAGTCTAAGAACCCGGCTTCTAAGGAGGAGCTTGCAAAACGGGATTCTATAGCCACCCGGACGTGCCAAGCATGTTCGGTCACCTTCCGTGGTCAGAAACAGTTGAAGTATCACACCTGCAAGAAAGCGGTCGTGGAAACGGTTCCGGAAACGGGTAGCACACCCAGGGCTGCTGAGGTAGCTCTTCCGGTTGAAAGTCCCCCGCGCTCGTCAACACCACACTCTGTGTGCAGTACCCAGGTAACCGCTAGCTCTGGGAAATCGCTTTCGGGCGACAAACTGTTGGCATTTCAAGCGTTGGTTGCTCGAAGACCTGAGTTTGGGACGATGCGTCGTTCTGAGCTCGACGAAGGTCAGAAGGTGTACAACCGTGAGACTTGTTGCTGTGGCTTCAGATTTTGGGGAGATGGTCGGCCCATGCACATGTCGACCCAAAACCACCTGACCGGTCGGTCGCTCTACATAGGTGGTGGGGATGGAGGTGCTGAGTGGGTCAATGAACCTAGAAGACTTGGCCACTATGCCATTAACAGTTTGATACTGTAGATAACTGAGAATTCATTCACAGAGATGCTGACCCGCTAGTCAAACACAACGTCAGCTAAGATAACCTATTTCGGGGGCATTCTTGATTTAATTCGAGATGTAAGTCCCTGAACATCCAACGCCGTGCTGCCAATATTGCCCAGGAACTAATGAGACAGTTGCGCACTACCTGTTAGACTGCCCACGCTACCGTGGAGAGAGACACATCCTCGTCAACGCCTTAGGCCGGAAAGCATCCTCATTGTCTTACCTTCTATCCGAAGCAGAAGCAGTACCACATCTCACTCGGTATCTCAACACAACAGGACGCCTACGAAAGACCTTCGATGAAGCAAATAAAATTACAGTCATTGGTTCAACGGCGTTTGTGTCACATACATTTCAAATCCCTCGTTCATTCCGCAAGAAACCCATCTAGGCTCCAGAACGTCCCGTACCTCATATACTCGTCAGTCAATCTCGCGCCTAAAAGGAAGAGCGATCCATCCAGCGCCTCTGCGCCCTCCAGTTCCGTATCCTTGAAGTAGCCCTTGGGCCGTGTGCCATAGAGTGAAGAGAAATGTGCAAAGGCGCGCTGAATCTTTGACACATGGTCGTTTGGGTGCATTATCCCGGACTCAACGATGTCGAGGAATGAATTATCGACCTTGTTTTCTGACGGAAGATGTGAGGTGGCGCTGAGGAAACCTTGAATGTCCAGTCTAGGGAAGCCGCGTGTGATATACAACCCAAGAATCGTCGCAAAGTATCCACGGAGTAGAAGAACCTGCGAGTCTATCGTCAGGTAAGCCAACAAGGATGGAAGGAAGAGACTCGAGGTGACTAAATGCATGCTAGGGCACCCCAAAAAATCAATATTGTTTCGCAGATGGCAGATTTACGTCACTCACCAGACGAAGTCTGCTGTGAAGCTTCCATCTTTGTTCCATCCTCCAATGGTGTAGAGGATACTGCTTATCCAAATACATTCTTCCATCTTACGTTCGATTTCGCCTGGCTGCGACGGGTCGATCGTCCATTGTTTAGCGTAGTCCCATACAGTATCGCCGTGCTCGGACATCAAACCATCAAAATTTCTGAAATGCTTTTTGATCACCTTCGGTGTGAATTTCGGATCTTGCATGATCTTCGCAAGAATGGAGAATGCATGGCTTTTTGGCGGTTGTGCGACTGGAGAGGGCGCAGTAGATGCCTTTGTATTAAGGACAAGCGAGGCAAGCCGAGTTGTAGGCTCTTCCACTGCGGTCGTGCCGCTATGCTCGAAGAGATCCGATGGTAAGAAATTATGCCCATGCACGCTGGTCAATGCAAGACCTTTAGGTGTCTGTCAGGGACTCATCTACAATGATGTGTCACGTTCCTCGCCTTCGACGATCATGCCTGGGATGCCTAATTCCGCGCCGTATCCTACATGGATGAAAGCGTGTAAAAAACCTCCAAGGAAGCGCGCCAACATCACTGGCTGGGCGGATGCGTCTCGTCCCTCTATAAAGTTGTACTTCTTAGAGAAGATGTATTCCTCTAGCATGGCACTGAGGGTCTTTTCATCGATAATCTTGATGAAGAAGGATGTGTACGCGGCGTAAAAGCTAACAAGAAATCAATTGGGCGGTGCGTTGCAGCGTCAATTTTAAACTCACTTTTCATCACCCATATGTTCAATAAAGTTCTCTTCTGTGATAGCCTCGGGAGACCTAACGGCTGGGCGCTGAATGGCGCTGTCTTGCTTATATAACTCTTCGATCAGAGGCCCACTTGCGCCCATCGCGAAAAGTGCCAGCGCACGATGAGTGACATGGCTTCATCGACGCTCGAATCAGTAACATGAGACACGGATCAGTTGAGATACATACGCACTTATGAAACTGCTGGTAGTTGAAGAAAATGTGGTACTTTGTGTAGTTATCCTTCAAGACACCTAATAGAGCTACAGTTGCTTCTGGGGAAGCACCAGGATACCGGGGAGGGGAAAGTACGTTTGGCGGGGAAGATGGGGAGGGGAACAGGGCATCGAGTTCGCTGCCGGGATCGGTCTGTTGAACTGCAGCCATCTTTGAGCGGGATGACCAGGATACAGAAATGAGTATGTGCTTGGTTGCACCCTTACATTTATATCCCTGTCCTAGTATGTAGTATGTAGTAGTGACAGATTAGGGCCACTGACATCATTGCTATCCGCTGGCAAATCGCCGACAAGAGGTCCCTTCTGCAGCATAGCGATAGTTCCTCTTTCAATACAAGAGCAACTGTAGTCAAATGAAGGAAAGTCGAGCTCCAGAGGTCGAGTTAGCAAGACTATGGGCGTGGGAACAATGATCCCGGCAGGGTGGCTGCTCCAAACGACAAGAGGTACTGATACGCAAGTGCAACTAGACGTCAAGCAGTTATTCTACGAGTCCACCAGGAAAACATCGAGTCGCTTGGAGTCGCTTGATTTCCTTTGGCAACTCAATAAAGTTTATTTAAACGAAGACAGATGCCTAACAGATGCCTACGACTCAGCTACACTTCTCACACAATCATTACCCACTTTTAGATCCACGTGCTGCGTGGCTTTGTGAATGAATATGATACGCCATGTCTTGGGTGACATCAGACGATTAACACATTTGATGGGTTTAAAGAAAAAGCACATAAAATTACAGTCATCGGTTCAGCGGTGTTTGTATCACATACATTTCAAATCCCTCGTTCATTCCTAATCCCTCGCAGGAAACCCCTCTAGACTCCAGAACGTCCCTTCCCTCATATACTCGTCAGTCAATCTCGCGCCTAAAAGGAAGAACGATCCATCCAGCGCCTCTGCACCCTCCAGTTCCGTATCCTTGAAGTAGCCCTTGGGCCGTGTGCCATAGAGTGAAGAGAAATGTGCAAAGGCGCGCTGAATCTTTGACACATGGTCGTTTGGGTGCATTATCCCGGACTCAACGATGTCGAGGAATGAATTATCGACCTTGTTTTCTGACGGAAGATGTGAGGTGGCGCTGAGGAAACCTTGAATGTCCAGTCTAGGGAAGCCGCGTGTGATATACAACCCAAGAATCGTCGCAAAGTATCCACGAAGTAACAGAACTTGCGAGTCTGTTGGCAGGTAAGCCAACAAGGATGGAAGGAAGAGACTTGAGGTGACGCAATGCATGCTGGAGCACCCCAAAAATCAATATTGTTTCGCAAATGACAGATTTACGTCACTCACTAGATGAAGTCTGCTGTGAAGCTTCCATCTTTGTTCCATCCTCCAAGGGTGTAGAGGATACTGCTTGTCCAGATACATTCTTCCATCTTACGTCCGATTTCGCCTGGCTGCGACGGGTCGATCGTCCATTGTTTAGCGTAGTCCCATACAGTATCGCCGTGCTCGGACATCAGGCCATCAAAATTTCTAAAATGCTTTTTGATCTCCTTCGGCGTGAATTTCGGATCTTGCATGATCTTTGCAAGAATGGAGAATGCATGGTTTTTTGGCGGTTGTGCGACTGGAGAGGGCGCAGTAGGTGCCTTTGTATTAAGGGAAAGCGAGGCAAGTTGAGTTGTGGACTCTTCTACTGCAGTCGTATCGCTGTGTTCGAAGAGATCCGATGGTAAGAAATTATGCCCATGCACGCTGGTCAATGCAAGACCTTTAGGTGTCTGTCAGGGACTCGTTTACAATGATGTGTCACGTTCCTCGCCTTCGACGATCATGCCTGGGATGCCTAATTCCGCGCCGTATCCTACATGGATGAAAGCGTGTAAAAAACCTCCAAGGAAGCGCGCCAACATCACTGGCTGGGCGGATGCGTCTCGTCCCTCTATAAAGTTGTACTTCTTAGAGAAGATGTATTCCTCTAGCGTGGCGCTGAGACTCTTTTTCTCGATAACCTTGATGAGGAAGGATTTGTATGCGGCGTAAAAGCTAACAAGAAATTAATTGAGCGGTATGTTGAAGTGTCAATTTTAAACTCACTTTTCATCGCCTATATGTTCGATAAAGTTCTCTTTTGTGATAGCCTCGGGAGACCTGACTGCTGGGCGCTGAATGGCGCTGTCTTGCTTATAGAGCTTTTCGATCAGAGGCCCACTTGCGCCCATCGCGAAAAGTGCCAGCGCGCGATGAGTGATATGGCTTCATCGAAGCTCGAATCAGTAACATGAGACACGGACGAGTTAAGATACATACGCACTTATGAAACTGCTTGTAGTTGAAGAAGATGTGGTACTTTGTATAGTTATCCTTCAAGACATAGGACAAAGCTGCAGCTGCTTCTGGGGTAGCACCAGGATGCCGCGGAGGGGAAAGCACGTTCGGCGGGGAAGATGGGGAGGGGAACAGGACATCGAGTTCGCTGCCGGGATCGGTCTGTTGAACTGCAGCCATCTCTGAGCGGGACAACCAGAATACAGAAAGGCGCACGCGCTTGGATGCATTCTTACATTTATATCCTTGTCCTATAGTTACAGGGCCTGTGATGCTCGTGCATTTTGGGGATTTCTGCGCCCAAACACCACATGTCAAGCAACAGCTGACAAAGTCTCCGCTACTGTTAAGTAAGGGCGCATACCGACGCCGCGGCGACGCGTGTTAGGTACCCAGGTTATCACGACGTGGTGCCTATAATGTACACGTCTGCCAAAGTCCCGGGGACTCCGGCAGCTATGGATCTGATAACTTACGTATCCTATCACTGCGCAGACTGCAGTATTTCATCATATCGGAAAGTGACAAAACTGCGGCAGTACTTGGAACTGAAGTCAGACATGAAGTTGGGCAGATGCGTCTCTTCAAAAGTCAGGACAGCTCGTCTGGCTAGCAATGTATACGAAAGCTGTGGGTTCAACCTGCTATCTACGGCAACGCCCGAAGGCTCTACCCTACTGACTAAGCTACGCAAATAGTGGCAAATAACCGCCTGCACCACCCCCGAGGGGTACCCACTCCAATGGAATATGCAGACCTACTGGCAGAAGTTCTCTGCCATAGATGCTAACTTGGGTAACTATGAGGACTCTCTTTGTGAGAAGCTAGTTTGATGTGGGCTATGCTGCAATTGGTATATACTAGCCAGCAGCTTCGCTGTACGTTGATATCGACATTCAATCACTATGACCCGGCACGTGCGCGACTGAAACTGATAAATGAATGATCCATTGAAACTTCCGTGATAAAGTAACTGGCGCTCAAGATCTCCATGCAAATAGGACTGTAACACGTTATACTTGGAGAAGTCAGGTAGGTTGCCGGTGTAAAAATAAGCTCACCGAAGACATCGCGCGTTTTGTGACGCAAACTTGGATGGTGCATATCGTTTGCAGTACGTCATAGTGATTCGACCCACTGACGCGACGTCTCGGACTCGGAAGCTAGGCCAACTATAGGAAGGTATGAAAACGTTCTCATTGCCACTGGCTTCGATGATTCGGAACCGCGGCAAGGTCACTGTCACTGAATGCAGCTAGCAACTGTTGAGTTTCGTTATTTACCTAAATGTTGGATGACAGCTCCTCAAGCTTCATCGCAGGGCCTACTGTTATTACGACATGAAAATGGAGAGCAAAAATAGCGGTACAAGTGAGATACCAGCGATTGGAATCTGTGAGACTCGCGATCACCACAGACTGAAGTCAGCTGGAGAGTACCTGTCAAGCGTTTCCTGTAACTCTGAAACAAAGTCACGCATTGGCGTATGTTTACAATCAAGAACAACAACAAAATGGAAGAAAAAAATGAACGACCTGGTAATATTGTCCCACAGCATCAAGACTATACTTAGTCTATGACTTCGCCGTCATCTACAGCTTCCATCTTAACCCACATACCACCCTACGAGGTAGAGCCTGATTAGACGACTGCAAAACGCCTCGGAGTAAGACTTACCATAGCATAAAGTGTCAAGTGGTTTCTCGGCCTGAATTGCTCGATGGCCTGCCGACCACCTTTTTCAGCCCACCACGCAGGTGGGCGCATCGCGGGCTCGGGGGATAGTGTGATCGCGGAAAAGTTTTGCAGTAAACGAATGACCATGAACGACATTTCGTTGTATGCAAACTGAAGTAGAAATGGGGGTATGAAATTTGTGGCATGAATAAATGAGCGACTTACTTGTTGCCCTAAGCAAATTCTGGGTCCCGCGTTAAATGGCAGGAAAATGAAGGGATTGGGAATCAGGTATTTCTTCACGCGCTCGTCAAGCCATCTATCCGGATCGAACTCCAATGCTAGAGCACGGGTCCGATTGAATCGAGAACGCATATGTAAACAAATGGAGTTGACTTACCATCTGGTCCCCATAGATCAGTTCTCCGGTGCATAAGGAGCACTGAATAGCTAAGCCTAAAATCGTTCAAGTAATTACGCAATGGATCTAAATGATTGAATATGATGCATACATGGTCCCCTTTGGGATAAATAGCGGCTTCTTCCCATCTTCGGGGGATATCCATGTAGTGTCACATATATTTTCTCTGAAAGCTCATGGCTTAAGTCTAGTATCTTCGAGGAACCTAAGAACATACCTTATATCAAAGGGGCTAGGCGGTTGGGGTATGAGGCAAGGTACGTATGAGATCAGATTCAACTACTTACACAGCAGGAAAAAGGCGTAGTGTTTCTAAAATAAGTGAGCAACATCCCCGCGATGAGAAACGAGAATATGCACCATTGAGGACAGCTCTGAGATACTTCATCTCTTTGATATCATCATAAGTGGGTCTGCGGGTTAGCCCAACCTTCGATATAATTTCTTCCCTGAGCCGAGTGAGGAACTCTGGATGCATTGCCAACAAATAAATAACTGATGTTAATGTTGAGGCCGTCTATTAATTATCCTTTGTTACATACTATGATGATTCAAAAGTAAATGGAACTTACCGTATCTCTTCCGGCCAGTAATATATTTAATGTCTCATCTTTGATAATTTTGAAGTCTGAAAAGGATATTTCAAGAACAGAAATCCCTTGGTAACATGCTATCTCACCTGACGTCAGATTTACGAGATGGTCTACAAGGGTTTGATCGTCTGCGAACTCATTTTTGTCAAATTCGACAGCGGTGCTACGCTTCTCCAGAGCGTCTTTGAGGATCGGATCTAAAAACGCGTTTACCACTTTCATATGTTGCTCGGTGCTGTCAGCAAGAATCTCAACCAGTGGCCAGGTCTGCCCGATAGAAACACGCCGATTTATTGCTTGTTGAGCTTGAGAGAAAGCATATGCGAAGGTTGCAGCAGCGTTGTCTCCTTGAATAGCATTTGTGGATTCTATGGCGTTATGGGGATAAGGGAGTCCAGCAGAAAGTGAATCGATACAGTGTCCAAATAGGAACTCTGAGGCAGAGTCAAGCGTAAACCTGGATATAAGATCCTGTGGTGGGATCAAAAGATGTCAAAATGCCAGCTTGGAAGAACCCGTACTTGGAAGTCAATTGCCAAGCCCGCTCTGAAACGTTTCTTCGCCAAAGTGATAGCATGATCCGCATGACGGTCAAAGATCTCAAAGTGACTTATCCGATCATGAGTGAAGAAAGGCCGTGTCATGGTTCGGTGAAGCCTAGAGATACATCTAAGATTCCCCATCGGAGATAATCCTCAAATATATGGCTTACTTCCAGATTTCACCTGGTGGCACAACCAATCGGTGAATCGGACACAACATAAAAGGTCCGCCAATGCATGCTTACCATCTGAATTGAATACGCCCGTTCCAAGGACAGAATCAGCTGCTTCTCTGAATTTGGCACCTGCATCGAGTCACATGGTACATGTCAACAGATGACATCTAACTTGAGGTGCATACCTTTAACATAGTTATCAAAGTCAGTTGCGAGAATAGTCTAGGTGGCGTTCGATTATAAAATATCTTCTAATATATACACTGAAGCTTGCCTTGATGTGTTGTGGCTCCGTAGTCAAAATGAGGTCCTCCCAGAAAAAACGAAAATTGATGGTCGGCCCGAGTACCTTTATCTCGTCCTCTATAGGTCGTCCTAGACAAAAGTATGATTCCGTAAAGCACGAACATGGTATGCATGAAATGAAGGCTGTACCTAGGTATTCATTCTCGTTCCTCAGGACCATCTTCACTACCTTATCCAGATTTCCAGGTAACTTTCCATGGATACGAGGAACAAGTCTAGCACCGAGTCGGTTGGCCTTTCGTTTTTGCGATATCTCATCCGCAAGAACGTAAGCTGCAAACCCGAGAGGCGCTGCACCCAAAACCACTGCAGATATGAGCCAGGGAGAAATTCGAACGCCTTTTAGAGAGGCCAGGCGAACTACGATAATAACGGAGGACGCGGCCGGAACAACGACGGAAAGCAAACCCCGCGTGAGGTAGGCTACGCCAGGGCTAAGCCAAGTTCGAGACATAGTATTTAGTCAATCGAAGTTTGTTACTAGTTGGTGACCTAGATAAGCAGACGAAAAAAAAACCTTGAATTGCCACCTACACAGATAATATGATTAATATTGATGGTCACTATAGTGGCTGCCGTTTGAGCGCCTTCAACAAAAGTACTGCGGGTGACAATTTCACAGGGGTCATTCAGGGCGTGACTAAACTATTTATGGACTTAGTCAGCATCAGGTAATTGTCGGAACTCGCTCGACCAGTCACATTGGTTGAACTATACTTTTACTCTTCTCTTAGTGCAACTCGTCCCCACAAACATTTTGGTCTGACCGGAGGTTTTCAGTATCACACACATCACTAGTGCCAATTTGTGCTAGATGGCAGCGCTGCTAAAATTTTTCATAATTCTGCATTTTATGCTCACGATATTAATTATGATTATGCTAAGTTTTTTTTTGCCTGCAGGTCCCATGTGGCGGTTCTATTACATCATCATCGTCTCATCGATGGGGCATCCATGATCCGAATCACATTTAAACAACTACGCCACTAGAACTCATGGGTTCCCTCATACTTCCATAGTAAGCCTGCATATCTAGTAAATATTGTGCTTACTAGTACAAATATTATGCTAAACTTCCGCTGCCAAGCTCACCTTGAAACTGGCCCATGGCATGCCGACTTATGTGGAGTGCGGAAATCGCAGAGGCAACCCCTGACTCCGATCCTGTGACCGGTCACTAGTTCATTGCTCGTCTGTTCTAACCTTATGGCTTTTATAAAACTTTCTATCATCGGGCTCCGAAGACAATACCCGAGCACCTGCCCGATCGCTCAAGGCCAATCCATCCTAGTATTTGCTTTGACAGTCCAGAGTAACCCCATTGTATCTCAAGCACTGCCAGTGGCACGTACCGGAACCTTGCATTCACCCTCCTAGAGTGTTTCAAGAGTCAGCTTAAGGTAATTGTCTCCATGTATGGTCGATGAGAATGAAACCCACCCTAGGAATAGATCTTTCCACTATCATGTCCGTGATGAATATCGTGACACGTCACTTGAAGTGGGTGAACGAAATCAAATGCTTTGCGACACGGTTTTATATCCGATAGTTTTTCGTATTGGCTCCCACAACTCTTGTTCATCCTCACGAGTCGCACCCGGGTTTGAACTTGCCGTCTTATCACTTGCCGCCGGAAGTAACTCAATATGATCACACCCGGAATCTCTTTCCTTGGTCGCACAGTCCTATCGGGAGGCTCTATGTATTTAGGCACTGTCTGCTTAGCGCGATTCGCGGCAAAGTTGGGTATATCCTTGCCACCATGGATTTTACTACTGGGTGCGATCGGTAGTTTACCTATCGGGTTTGCATTGCGCATCCTGTACCTCCGTATCATTCACCGCCGACAAGCTGCAAGGATGGGTGCCCGCCTGGCGCCCCCTATTAGGGGCAAACAATTCGGTAACCTCGACATCATGCTCAAACTGGTTGAACGATTTGATAATGGCTATCCTGGTATAACTATCCGCAATCTCCGCACATTTGATTTTGTATGAATCATTTTTCCAGGTGATGGACTGGTAGAGATCATCGCGGAGTTAGGAACGTGCTTTAACCTCAATGTCATGTTCGAGAACGTCATATTTACCGTGGAACCTAGTCACATCAAGGTATACTGATGTTTTTTCATGGAAGATATCGCACTGATACCGTTGATTTTCAGACTATCTTAGCGTCCGAATTTGAAAACTATGTCAAAGGTGGATGAGTTGATCATATATCCGGTGATCGGCGTCTTCTTAAACGTTCTATGCAGGAGATAAGTTTAGGCATACGATGTCAAGTGTCCTCGGGACGGGTGTTTTTAATTCTGACGGTAAATGAACTTCTACTCGGTTCCCAATTGACTAACAGCACACTAAAATAAATAAGGCGAAATGTGGAAATTCCATCGTTCTATGACAAGGCCCTTCTTCAGCCATGACCGAATAGGTCACTTCAATATCTTTGATCGTCATGCAGAAGATGCTATTTCGCAGATGAAGGCTCGTTTCCGCTCTGGATATCCCGTCGACTTCCAGGTCAGCTTCATGCCAAACATATCCTACTGCTGTTACATCGTACATTGACACAAAATCATAGGACCTGATATCGCGTTTCACGCTCGACTCCGCCACGGAATTTTGTTCGGCAATTGCGTGCACAGTCTTTCCGCAGGACTACCTTACCCGCATAACGTCGCAAGGACGGAAGCCCTTACTGGGAAGGCAAAGATAGCTGAAAACTTTGCTCAGGCGTTCGCAGATGCACAGACAATTATCGCCCAGCGTCCCCGCAAAAGTTGGGTCTGGCCCTTGTTTGAGATCTTCAAGGATAAAACCACTGAACCTATGCGAATTGTGAACTCGTTCATTGATCCGATCTTGAAAGAGGCTATCGCCAAGAAGCAATCGCATGCCAATGAAGAAAAGGATGTTGATAACGACGACACGACATTACTGGACCATCTTGTCCAGATGACAACAGGTAGGGCGCCTGCACTCTCGCGTATCACGAAACTGAATTATCTGGTAATAAGATCCCGTGGTACTGAGAGATGAAATCTTGAACATCCTGATCGCCGGAAGGGACACGGTAAATCTACTATTTACGTTCCCTCGAATATCAGCTGATTACCATGCACGTAGACTGCTGGGACGCTTACTGTTGCCATGTATCTACTTTCTACGCACCCGCATGTGATGACCCGCTTGAGAGAGGAAGTTATGACACAAGTTGGACTTACCGACAGGCCGACTTACGATCAGATTCGTAGTATGAAGTACCTTCGCGCTGTTCTTAACGGTATACTCGATCGTTGTAGCTTGTTTTTATCAGACCTCTGACATGTTCGCTTTGCAGAAACTATGAGGGTTTTTTCTCCCGTGTAAGCTATTTGAATCAGGAATCTTTTACCAATCTAATCACATTCTTCAGACCTTTCAATGTTCGGTACGCTTCACATCCTACATTCTTACGAAATACTCACATCATGATAGCGCAAGTGTCAATGCATCCACTCTGCCTGCAACCAATCACTTGGATAAACCAATATACGTCCCCCCAAAGACAAGGTACAGTAGTGTTTTCCTCTCAGAATTTCCAACGTAACGCAGATGATGGGCTTAGTATCTCCTACTCCGTTTTTCTAATGCATCGCAGAAAAGATCTTTGGGGTCCTGATGGTACGCACGTCACTTACTGTTTCGAATGATCAATCTGCAAGCACTAACATCTTGCCAGCCGATGAGTTCGATCCCGGCCGCTTCCTCGATGAACGGTTACATAAGTATCTTACGCCTAAACCTTTTATCTTCCTCCCCTTCAACGCCGGCCCCCGCATCTGTCTTGGGCAACAGGTGATACTCCTATGCCTATTCCTCACCTCGAAATTCTCCTGACCTCAACCCATAGTTTGCTTACAACGAGATGTCATTCATGCTCATCCGCCTCCTCCAATCCTTCTCTTCTATCACTCTCCACCCAGAAGCGCAACCCCCCCACACTCTTCCGCCTGCTGATTGGGCTCAAGCAGAAGGTCGCAAATCACGCGAAAAGTTCTGGCCGAAAGTACATTTGACGATTTATGCTCATGTAAGTACTGTGCTCTCCTCCTGCTTCGTTTCTGTGTTGATACCTTCATTCCATAGGGCGGTCTATGGGTCCGCATGGCTGAAGCTGAGAACGCTAATTGAATGATATAATGGCATGTCGGAGAAGTGTATGTACTATCAGCACTAATCGTGGAACTGTCTCGAAAATAATGTGTACTATGATAAATTCTCCGTCTGAGACTGTAGTCCTCTCGAACGCTGTCCTTTCCTTTCAATAGCGTGACCTGCGACGATTCGCAGAATCTTCGTTGCATCAGTGCTACCATGGATATGTGGTATCGTAATGTAATGTAAATATCGTTGTGTAAATAGCACATTCCCGCTTTTCCCACCTAAAAGAAAGACTCCACTCCACTCCAATGTCATTCAACTCCACGTGCTAGTGTCTACGCCCGGTTCATCTGACACCACCCCTCCTACCTGACGATGTTGCGCATATTAATAGATGTGTCTCCGTAGTTTGTGGCACGGCGGTCCCAGCGCCCATGCATCGGATCGTGGAATGCCTTATTGGCAATCGCGAACAGTAATGACATCACAAAGAGGGCCAAGACGAGGAGCCAGCCTAGCCAAGTGAATGCAAGCAGTGCAGTGAGGATCCTGCATGCGCTATATGCCCAGCAGGAAGAAAGATTACCCCACTTGACGTCGACGTCAGGTGGGTTGCTAGTGTGCTGCGCCGTAGCGTGTGAGTATCATGAATCATAGGAAGCGGATGGGATGACGTACTGTGGCAACGGCAGCGCCGATGAGCCAAAGGAGGAAAAGGATAAACAACCCAACGAGCTCTGCGGTGAAGCTGTTCATCCTGCGATGTTCGTGTCTGCCGTGTATGGTCCGGGCACTGATGCGAGTGGGGTTAAACTCGGAGGAAATGCAGTGGGTGACATACTTACATAAACATGGACCAGAACATGGTGATGATGGATGTTATGATCAATTCAACCACGATGTGGTCTTGACAAGTTTGAGTGAGGGATCGGACACCTGTATCGTGACAACCAACATACCGTAAAATCGGACGCCTCCGTTGAGAGGATCGCGTGGCGACAAGTGTAAGGTGTAGTGCAGCCTTACTGCGCACAGCGACATAACGACAACCGAGAAAACAAACTGAATGCTGAAATCAGCATCTCGAAAGAGATGCCTTGAACTTGCGACTTACCAGGAAGAAGTATACGAAGACTCGTACGAAGTGGATCATGGCGGTGGTGTGCAGAGAATGACTCGATGAGGTGTGTTTGCAGATAGGCGGGGCTTTATACGCTCGACAAGGGTAGACACGAGGCAGCGGTCTTGTCTCTCACCTGCCTAAATGAAACCATGCGGCATGGTTCCATTCCCGCTGATGATAAATTACAAATAAGGAGTGGGGCATTGCGTCATGCGCTTGATGGAGTGCGCGGCGATGGAGACATTGTGAACAAAAACGAGACTGCAGCGAATCGAGGGAGCGGTGAATACTTCACCGTTGTCAAATCCATGGAGAGCAGGCTATGTTTGATCGCTGAACAGGCCAATCAGGTTACCGGACGCAAGGAGTCGAGAACTATGCTTCTCGGAGGTGCTTGCCACGTTCATTCGCCTCGAGGCCTTTCAATAGTGGCCTCGTTGAGGTCATGCGCCATTCCACGTGAATCGGCAATTGCCATCATCTGCGTCATTGGTTCTGTCCAGTGATCACAATGAAATGTACTGTGGATATCAGGTTGGTTGTGAAACCGGTTGTTGCAGTTCTCACTTCAACGGTAGTATGTTGAGGAGCGACATCGATTGGATCGGCTTGCTCTCCGAGATGGAAAGATCAGAGTAAACCCAGGTGGCTCACAGTCGTTGACAATGCAGTGGTTAATTGCAAATATGATATATGACGGCCCGGATAGAAGCTTGCATTTGAGTTCGACGAAGCATCATGTATTTCTAGAACTGTGCTCGCCGCTGCAGAGGACATGAGATGAAATTGCGCCAAGGATGAATTCACTGAGTGTAAACCTTTCATACAATGCGACTCCTTTCTTCAAGTTCCTGCTCTCGCATGAGTAAACGATCTTCTCGTACCTTCAATTCTTCTTCTCGAATGTTCAGATCCTCTTCCCGAAACTTTAAATCTTCTTTACGCAGCCTCAGACCCTCTTCAATCGTTGTCAGACCTTCCTCTCGTGCTATGACCTGATCCTCCCTGAGTCTCAACATCTTTTCAGCTACTTTTAGCCTCTCCTTTAGCACTTGGGTGTCGTTATCAGATACATCACCTTGATTCATCTGGTTTTGCTGTACATATATATCATATGTCGAGAAGGATATATAGGCACAAGTACTGAATGAACGTACCAAATGGCGTGATTCCCTCAAAGGAGCTTCAGTAGCATGAGTTTCCTGATCACTATTGGAGGACATGGTGGGATTAGTGAGCAAGCAGAATTTGCCAAGGGTTGTTCCTGATCTGATCTAAACCCATTTTAGATGTTTTATCGTAATCTAAGTCACTGGGAGATTTCGTTGCCACGTCGCTAGTGAAAACAGTGGTCTATGTACTGTGCGCACTAACTTCAAAAATATCCTACGGCGAGCCAACAGCGAGCTACAAGTTTCTGTAGCCTGCGTGAGTTGTCAGTCACAATCTTGAAGAACATGTTGACTGATTGCATGTACTTCTAGTGCCAGCGCGTTGTTACACGACTCTTGCTGGTTATCATTATTCCCCACATAGCATTCACGCCAGCACATACCCTTCAGTCCTGTCGTTACCGGCCACCTAATCGTTAACACTCGTCATGCCTGCAGTCTGGCAGAGACATCCTCGATATTTCCTCATCGTGGCTTTGGTTCTGACAACAACTTTCTTCCTACTAAGTCCGTATGAATCTCCGCTCTCCACCGACTCGTATGCTGCCTATATCCGTGACAGTACCCTTCCAGCACGACTTGAGCGAGCAGAAAGGGTCTATCAGAAAGTAATAGCTGGTCGCAAGAACCTAATACATAGATATGGCACAAGCTCTCGCGATATTGTCATGTACGTTCCGCTAGCTCACTAGTCCTGTTGTGGAGGGTTGAAGACGTTTCAGGTTCCCACCAGACAAGGATCCATGGCCAGCATACACTGCCTGTGAGTTTGGTCGATGAAGATTTCCGTTTGCCATTAGGCATTTACCAACATTCTCAGGGAGCTTCTTTCCTCCGTCTTTCGACTGTCCGCACGAACTAGAGCGCATAGGTGCACTAGGGGATGGCGGAAAGTGGGCATGCGGGATATCCCGACTGGAGCACAAACCCGACTGTATCATATACACTTTCGGTGTGCCTGTCCATTTCATTTTATTTCGGACTAGCACTCATTGACACATGGGTAGGTATGAACTATGAAACGACATTCGAGGCAGAGCTCCTTGAACGGACGCGGCACTGTCAAGTCTGGGGATACGACTATCGCTCCAACTCGTTTGGATCCCACATCAAGCCCAACTACCGTACACACTTCTTTTCATGGGGCCTTGCCAACTTTGATTCTCATGAGCCGCACAATAATCCTAGGCTATATACTCTCAAGACATTGCTTGAGATTAACAGTTCGTATGCGCTTTTATCTCCGTTCTATTTCTTGCTAATAAAATGTTCTAATCAGAGCATGACCATATTGATGTACTCAAAATCGACATAGAAGGCTGGGAGTTTGAGACACTCTCGCAGATCATCCAGCCATACATCTTGTCTGGGGAACCACTACCATTTGGACAGCTTATAGTCGAGATTCATGCCTGGGACAAGAAATTTGAGGATTTCTTGCCTTGGTGGGAGATGCTAGAGCAAGCTGGGTTGAGACCATTTATGAACGAGGTGCGTACTGATCTGTGCATCCAACATCCCATCCAACATCGTATTATCCAGATAAACCTCGTATACCAGAACTACAACCGAGGAAAGGACACGGATCTCGCGGAGGTTTGTCGTGCCTCGACGTTCCTGCATATGAACTAATTAGCCCCACAGTATTCCTTCATCAACGTCAAAGGAAACAATATCTTCATCTCGGACCCACAAGGTGATCCTGGGTATACGGATGTTACGTAAGCACGGTGCTGATTGCACCTTGCGGTGTACACGGCAGAAACTCTGCGGTGGCGCGGATATGATGACATAGTGGACAGTTATTGGTCAACTTTTGTGTGAATACACACTATGGATATACGCATATATTAATGATCGGGTACATGTTGCAGGTTGTGCAAGACAGCGCTGTGGTGTTCTGCTTTAGCTGCGTTTCGTTACATCGAAAGGTACTGACCGCAGTGTTAGCGGATTTCATGTGATGTTCTTGGTGTGTTTCGTAAGTGGCAATCCAGCTGTCGGGCTTTCTCCGGGCATCGCCTTTCTCCGAATCATTCCGCTCAGTGATTTAATCAAACGGTCATGTTTTGAAACTCAGATAATGGCAGGCAGGCTGAGGCAGCAGGCTATTTTAGGCTAATATCCGGCCGACGACACCACCAAAAAAATTGGTTATGACAAGGGTGTCCGAGCTCCACGACACTTATCAAGGGGTCAAACTTGGTGCTTTCCTGGGGGGTCACCTTTCTTTGGCATACTTCTTATTCACACGCAGTGCCCAGTGTAAGGATCATGGGAATCAGGTGCCCTGCCATCCGAACAACTGGCTTGGGATCAGATTTTGGAGATGGCCAGCACAGTTAATTTTTCGGCGACTGCGGACAACAAATGCATAGTCAGTCAAGTCTAGCATTCAAAGACACTGGTACGGAGGCCATGAGGTGGGGATTTTCCCGGCGATGAGAGGAAATGTCAACGGTGAACGTTATTTTTAATTTGGCAGGAACAAGTGGGTATTGGGCGCCAACTCACTGATAACCTAGGGTCCGGCTGGACAGGGCTGGACCCCCGTGCAAATCGCGCCAAAAAAGATTTAATATCTTTGGCTCCTTCTTCAAGCTTCTCCCATCGTGGATACTTGATCTGTTGGGACCTGAGCCCCCATATCATAAAATGCCTTGTGGTATACAGCCCCTTCAACAACGTTTTCTTCTTCATCTCTCTGTATACTGATCGTTTGCTATGGTGGTGGACATTCACGATACGTTTGGTGAGTATCTTGTTCATATCTTTGTCCATAGGGGAGCAGTTGACCCTCTTTCAGGCGCAGGGTTCATCGGAGGTATGGTGACTGCCATGTGCGTCGAGAATCTGCCTCCTTCCGCCAGAACTTGACAGTGTGACTGGACAATAGCTTGTATGGTATCACGACTCTGCAGGTACGTCGTATTTCGTCTGGTGAAGGTAGTAACGCTCATTGATTATCAAGACATACTTGTATTATGTATATTATCCCAGTGACTCCAATAGTGTGAAAGTATTGGTATGTCGGGTCTAGTTTATGCTGTATTTTGACCTTTTACGAAAGTGTTATAGGTTGCATTCATCTGGTGATCTTCTTTGCGTTTGATGGCATGTGCTTTCCTGATCGCTTTGCAGGGTCTTAGACACTTTACACGTTTCCTTTAGTGAGTAGTTGTTTGGCATCTCAGTTGACATCTACTGAATTGATCCCCGTCCAAGTGTGTCATGCTCTGTATTACTACCTTGTGCGCATCGACAATTGAATCATCATGTTTACGATTTTAATTCAGTATAGGTAACGAGTTTTGGTGACCCGGATAATCTTGGAACTGGAGTTTGGTACGTACTTCCCGAAGACCGCAATGATCCAGTACTGAGTCGTGCATCCCAGGTCCCTTTTCGTGAGTGCTTAGCGTTGTGTAATTCGACGCCTGACATATGGGAATTGAAGATATCGCTCGCTCTAAATGCAAGTCTTTTTCATCTGAGAGTCTTCCTGAAGCTAACGTTGGAAGTAGCTTTGCATGGCTGTGCTTGTGCAAACGTGCGTGGCAGTTCCATCATTAGTTTGTAGATTTGTATCCTGAATGTCTTTGTCAGGTACTTTACTTTTCGAATATCCCACCGTAAGCGTTTCGTTTGGTTGATTTGCTTATCTTGAATCTTTCTGGGGTAGTAACCCGTTCCAATATCCGATGGTGGCTGACGTCCTTTATTGTAAGTTGAAGTTGAAGTTGAAGTTCTCGGGTTCATATACTGGTTTGGTACTGAATGCTGTCTCGTCATTTCAAGATGTTGTTCGTTATCGCACACTTTGGTGAGACTCCATATATAACTCATCTAAGCAGCTCATTGATCCGAGACTTAGCCTTTGGATTAGGTGAGCTTCTTTTTCATTTTGCTCACACGATGCGCTGAGCCAAAGTAGAGACAGTCATTCTCATGTGAGTACTCTCTTTAGTCTGTATCAAATGTAACGAATCCCCTCAGGTTCATCAAGAAGGAATTCAGCGCGCTTTCGCAAATCACTGTATGCTGAAAGACTAGTTTGACTGGGTGTCCTACTGACAGTTTTCAGCTCTATGCTGCTACGCCTTTCGCTGTCACTGCTGTTTTGTCCGACGTCTTCATTGCTGCTTCACTGTGCATTCTTCTCCATGGCAATCGCGGTTCTTATGTCGGGTAGGTCTAGATCCCGCATTGCTGACATCGCTGAGATTGATATTGTCCACTAGGACCAATGCACTTGTCAATACGTTGATGGTATACGCTATCAATCGTTGTCTACTGACTTCGTATGTCTCTTGTCTGATAGACATGGGTGATGTTATTCACCTCGCTTCTTATCTTCTAGAGCCGTGGCCGTGGCCGAAGTCATCGCAGTAAGTTCAGGCGAACGAGTTAGGCCAATACTTTTAAAGCTGATATTTGTTTGCCGCACAGTTTGCCATCAGCCCAGGTAGTCTGTGGTTTATCGCGATAGATTTCGTTATCGGAAAGCGTGAGTGCAGCTCTATCGGGTGATAACACGTGGAGTCCTCACCCTTTTGTCCTGTAGTATATGCCAATTCCCTTCTTGCATCCCTGAATAGCCGAAGTGCCTTACGAGGGCGCAACTACACTCACAATGACAGCACTAGTTTCCGTGTCAACACCATCAACCTAACTGGCCTACAGTCCTCAAGCGACAGCGCAGGCACGCAGAGTAAAATGACCACCAGCACTGTCTCCCCTCGTGCCCGTGTGAAATCAATTACAGGTGGAGATATCGACGAGGTGAGTTTTTACTCTGCTTCTTCGGTTTATCTGATCAATTAACGACGGAAATGAAGATAGCTACCTCGGGCGAAGTTTGATGTTTGTGTTTTGCTGTGCATGATTGTAATATGCTCCTTGCCTGCCGACCTAGCCCCGTGGGCTAGAATTCTAGAATGCTCCGTACTTCGCCATCATCATTGTTATTCACCCTTCATCTTCATGACATCAATCTAACTACTCTTGTCTACTCTTACTTGTATCCTTGTATCTTACTACCCTGCAAAGATAAGCATATTTTCATTAACGAGGTGAGATTAAACCAATGTCGAGAAACAATATCTAGTGTTGGATCCTCAATCATCCGTACCTATATAGTTTGCCTGGTTCCCGGTGCAAGAAATAGCAAAATCAGCTTTCTACTCAAAGTTTGATGCTACTCGCAAAGCTGAAAATGTACCTCCAAGAGGAAAAAAAAGTACATGCAGGATCTGTCAGGGAGCACCTCAAACGGCGTGACTACCCGAATACAACCAGCAAGGCCGACCAGTCGGCACAACCTTTTCGCATGACTCCAGAGGACAAGTTTACTTACTAGGGCCGCCCATGCCATGGTGGCAGTTGCTAATCCAAGCTCAAGTTGCTCAACTTCCAGTGAATTCCTAAGTTAATTTCTCTCGTCCTCAAAACTGGCTTGGGATCTTTCTACCAAGTGACTGCATCCGAAGCTTGGATTAAGTTGTATGAGCTGTTGAATTTAGATACCAAGGGTATTGATGACGCAGAATTTCCGCGGGCGGATGAAAGTTTGGATGAGAAAAACTCATGCGTTTAGGATGTGATTATGTAATGTTCGTAGTCAGCCAATTCACTGGCAAAATCGTTCATGGTTCGGGCCGCAGTCATGGGGACCATTCACTGACTTCTGCGAATTTTCAAACCGGAAGAACTCTGCGTGGAATTCCGAATGACTGTAGGATATCAAAACATCAACATTGCAGAGATACAGCCGCAGTGCATGGAGTAAATGGTACACCACATCAAATCGTGACTGTGCCACTACGTACTAGCAACAACTTGCAGTGGAACTATTTACAATATATGTCTCAAAATGTATAATTTTGATTGAATTGACATTCGTCTTCGTCTCGGTCTCGCAGTGAAGTATGAACAGCATCATCTCACTTCAAATATATACCTGGGTGAATAATGTTGAGAGTATACATAGCGACGACGACGAAACCCCCGTCGAACCAGTCTGTTGACAATCAATATTCTGTCGGCAACATGTGAAGATAGTGTCGCGACGTACTGAAGTAGGACTCATTCGCAATCACTACCCCGAACCACCCATCGGCGAGCTCGACTGTGCGGTACACGGATCTAAGGACGAAGTTAGCGCATTGTAACTATTGATAACGATATCTCCAGAACGCTGACCGAATGAAAATGCAGATGGTGCACAAGCTCATTCCAAAAATCATGCGATGCACATGTTTACTCATAGCGAGGTGGTCTTCCCCGAATTTCATAGTCTGGTGGCAGAAGGGTGTATTGTATATCCGACGCAAGAAAAACTCGGCCGCCAAACTGATGTAGACAAATATAGCAACTAAAGAGCGAAGGGAAGGGGTGTCAGTGAGAGAAGGATCACAGCGCCGCGCATCACGCACAAAGTTGAGCAGAAATCCCTCCTAACATAATGTTCCCGCCCTGTCTGATGCCATGTAGCAAATGCCACAAGGTACTAGAAGTGGCACGTACCAATGCGGGGTCTTTGTTCTCATTAACGGCTTGTGCGGATAATGCGCCTCCGACAGCTTGTACGATCAAGCATATAGCATCCTATATGAACCGGAGAATATGAAATGTTGGCATCACTTGTATGTGTGGTACTAACAAATGAGCAAAAAACCACGGTATCTGCGCCAAATCAGTAACTTATAACCGATATATCAAATTAACACCAACACATATTCGGGGTCAGACGGCTGAACTGGGATCCAAATTGATTGGTTATTTTGCCAAGGATAACAAAGTTAGCTGCAACCAGTGGAGTGGGTGCTAGGACCGTGCCGACGAGCCTGCAGCGAAAACACTCGAGTGTGTATATGAGCGATCCCTTGTCAATGAAGACTCACTGCATCTCAAAAGGCGTCAAAAGCTCAGGACTCTGGCTCGACCATAACCTGGCACTCCATCCAAATACTTCCAGGATGCCCGCAAAGGTCGCTGTGGGAATCATCCACCAGAGTTTATATTTGAGCGCCTGGACCATATGGATGGCTGAAGGCGTCAAGCTATGACACGACTATGCACCGTCAAGAGTAGAAATTCATACCAGTTGAAATACTATACAACACCACGAACTAGGGAAAAATGTGAAAGGAATGTAAGAGCTCCAGATGATATGACTCACAGAAACACAGATCCACTCTGTAGGGACATAATTGTACGGGCTCTCAATGTCCTGTGCTGTTGACCACACGCTTGTTCATACATGTCCCAGCACAACAATATTGCGGCACTTACGAATCGTATAGGGCACTGAGCTCATGACTGTCGTAGCAGAAAAAGTTGCTTGAAGTCAGTGGGTATCGAATAATTCAACAATGGAAGAAGCTTGAAGCAAACCCATTTATACTCAACATAGATAACCTCGGACCGTACAGGGTTTCGAATCAGTATTTTGGCTTGTTGATGACATTCATGGCTACCAGATCACTGATATATGATCAATGCGCATGATGCATCATTTTCAATAATCGCTGCCAAAGTTGTGTAGGGGCCCGCTACGCCGCACCTTCGTGATTACAGTACATAGGGATATACCATAACCTCCCAGGCACAAATTCGATGCCCGATGCAATGCAGCTTACTTAGGGCTGGCCCCTTACACGTCAATTGAGCAAAACAGGTGCTTTGTGTACAATCAGCACTTACGTGTGTGGAGTTCTGGAGTTCGATACAGCACATTTACGAATTTGACTGTGTGAATATGTGGTGCGGATAAATGTCAATGGCAACAAACAGACTCAGTCAATGCATACATGAGCTGGAGCGCGATTGAGTCGGACCTGAGGATTTTTTGGTCCCGTCGAAAGGAAGATTGTTCAAGCGTCGGAGGATGGGTCACACGGTGACGTCACAGGTGCGTCGCGGAGTTTAAACTATACGAGCGCGGGGATTCTAGTACAACTTGAATCATTCGCAATATTCATCATACACCATTCGCTCATGGCGCGTTTACGACGTCTCAAAAGTCGGCCATCGAGTACTAAGTACTGAAGTATAATCAGTTTGCAGTTAAGCAGCTTGAAGTCCTTGCTATTGCATAACTGGTTACAGCGGCAGAATACAATGACGACGAACTTGTCGACGCAAGTTGCTCTCGCAGCCCTTGCAGCAGACTATGGCATACACACAAAATGCGAAGTAAAAAATGGAACCACACACATTCGATACTCCCGAGTAAGTATTTTTGGTGGGGAATGTCTACAGGAATTCATCATCCATGACTGTCGGCGTTGGGCTTCGAGCGCTGAACCTTCGAGCTGCCTCGTTCACATTCTAATCTCAGCGCTCGCTACTATACGTCGGGGAAAAACGCTCGACCTCAATTAGAACACAATTTTATTTCTCTCACTATCACAATCTGTCAATCGCAAATTGCCTATAAAAATAAAATGAGCGAAATAAAGCGGAATTGTGCGAGGCTATGACGTCCGACATCATTGTCCTTAGCGAACTGACCTTCGCAAATTGATATCAGGAACTCCGATACTGTTGGAAGCTGTCCGACTTATCTGCGCGTTTCCCTCGATGTCAGTCGGTCGCTTGTAGGCTAGGCTATGCGTTATGCGCACGCTCTTACCCGTAGGTACCGAACCCTGGGGTAGAGGTGCTTCATTTTCAGTCGCTCCATTCGTGAATCACGACATTGTGAATGATGTGCGTCGCATTCTATCCTGCTGCGTAAGGCGTAAGCTGCAATTTCACGCGAGGCTCGTTCCCCACGTGCACGACGCCGCCGTGTAGACAGTGTACCCATCAATCTCGGATCATTTGATGGTACCATTGACGGCCCAACACCTCGTATGTGACATCACCAAAGAGAAAGATTCGGTAAGCTAGGAGCTCACAACTTGAAGTCCTCCATGTTCTTATTCGCGTACCCTTAACCAAAAAAAAAACTGGTTGTGCAGTGGGAGAATATATCCTGAGCATGGCTACACCCAGTTTTAGCCTTCGTTGACACTGTCACTATCGGAAAATTCGACGTCTTCGATTAGAGAATTTGAGTTCATGTACAAGTTATTTTGTGTGTTATCTACTCGCCCCGATTGTATTTTGATATTGCCGTGTGACGAGTGTGATTATCTTTTGAAATAAGTAGAATTGATCATTTGTGGCACAATGACGAGAACAATGATTCCTGCTCATGAGATCTGTAAGCGGCAGTCACCCCTTGCCAAGAAGTGGGAGATTCTCACCAAGAAACGGAGGATTGCGCTGGTAGAGAATACTGAAAGCCATCTAGAACGGCTGCTCCGCTAAAGTTTCAGAAATCTTGACAACCAGCTCATCACGAGTTCGCAGTTCAGCAGCGAAATAAGCCTTTACCCCTCCAACACCTCTGGATTTCACCACGCGGACGATATCATCATATGCGTTTGTGTTTCCAGCTCGTTGAACAGTGCACATGAAATCTTTCTTTTTGTTATATATTAGCAAGCCGCCCAGACCCATTGACGTCGCAGTCGGAGAGAACGGATCTACGGGTACTTGCACCTTGATGATCATAGACTTCTGATCAAAGGATATTCTGGTAAACGGAGCTTTTTTTTGCGGCTTGGACTTGGGACTCGAAAGGCCGAGAGCGTTGCGAGTGATATCAGCACGAGAAATTGTAGACGAGAAGTCGTTATAGCTTGGCTTCAGCGTGACCGTGGTTGATGTGGAGAATGGCTGGCATAACGGTTTATGGGTTTTCCAATGCATACCTGGCATAAATCGCGTCAGTAAAATACATAGACATGGCAATAGCTTACGCTGGCAGTCAGACGAGCAATATCGGACTGTGTGACACCGTGCACACTGCTTCAGGCCTTTCTCTTTTTTCTTGCAGTGCTCGCATTCCTTCTCTTCCCATAGTGCTTTCTCCCCTGATCGCTTCCTTTCCCACCGGCGAACCGCCGCCGTGACTTGGGGGCCAAATACAACACATAACGCACGGGGAGAATCACCATTTCCGTCCTTAATGTCCATATCAGCGTTGTGCTCCATTAATAAATCTAGGATCGGTATGTCTTGTCCCTGGAATGGGAAGAAGAGAGGAACTTCACCATAACGGTTTTGAACATTCGGGTTGGCTCCACCTTCGAGAAGTGCCCTGGCGAGTTCAAGATGTCCAAGGGGAGGAGTACATGCATGGTGGAGGGCTGTGTGGCCGGATATATCCGGCAAATCCGGTGGTGCACCACACTGAAGGAGATATTTGATAACGTCAAGATGCTTGAGAGAATTTGGAGCGGCTCCTCTGATTCGCTGTGCGCCGAGAACAGTAAATGAAAGAAAACCAATTTTGAAGGGCGTTTCAGCCCATGTTATATCTGGAGCAATGCCTCCACTGACTGCCTTGACTGGGGAATCAGTATTTCTGCCACGACATAGAGATAGAGACAAACAGCTTTGACGTCTTGAATTTGCCCAGTCATGCATGCTAGTGCGAATGGTGAAAGTTTATTAATATCCAGTTCGCCGAACTCTGCATGCTCGGCGTTAGTGTTGTTCTCAGATGGGCTGGAGAGCCTGTGACAGCTATAAGCCGTCAATCAAAACCCGAGGAACTCACGTGTCTGAAACATAGTCCTAAGTTTCTCGCTACCCATTTTAATGCTAATATAACCTGGCTGCTTGAGGATATCCTCCATTTCCGCTGTCACTTTGAGCCCGCCATGACCTGGCGTGTCATGGTTTATCAAATTATCATGGTGCTAGTGAGAACATAATTTAAGAATCTGCTAAGAGTATTCTCACCTCGTTCCATATCAACCAGCTGTGTCTCCGTTCAGTTGAAAGTAGTGCACAGAAGGTCGCCGACGCTTGGACGGAGTAGCTCACTGGCAAGCCGCTAATTCAAAACCAAATTGAGTGGACATTTACGTAAGTTTAACCAACCAAACTTGCTTTTGCAATTGCATCAGGTGCAATTACACATCATCACCATCACTACTTAGTATGATTCAGCCTATAGGCTCTGCCCTATATGAAATCTATGAAATCGAACAGCGAAAGTAAGTACTTAGGGTCGAGTGTCTGGTGTGTGGTTTTCTGATGGCGGCCCTGCACAGCCGGCGCGCGCACTGGCAGGCACAATTCTTAAGTGCTTCTTTTTCGTCCCCCTCATTCTCATGAACTCTGAGTCTGTCCCATGGCGAGGCTTTAGTATTTTCCACTATCACCGGTCGTCCTTACGACGTCAGTATGGCCTCCGAGTCTTACTCCACGGACACTCTATCTCACCCGCGACCCGGGACAACAAACATTCTTCGTTTCTCCGTCGCCACCAAGGGCACTTAGCTCGCACCTCTAAAATGGTTGTACGGCACTCGCATGCTATATCACATTCCCCATGGTCATGGAATACTGGTACGTACGCCGGCCGTGACCGCAGCAGCGTAGTCTAATCTCGAGTAGTCTATTGGCTTATCAATGTGTGTCAGCTTCGGGACCGAGTTTTGTAGGTCAAACAACCAATGGTCACTGGCTTTACTCAAGCTCTACGTCATACGCCTTAAAACATAGACCCGTGGAGGTCCCACCTCGGTGCGAATTTCTACAAATTCTGACGAACGGTTGGCGGATGCGGTACGCCTGGCAAAATGTGCGGCACCCTTTTATCATTTAATCCCGATAATGTTTTTGCCATCCCCGTTACATAACATGATTGCGATGGAAAGTTGTTGACTAATCACATTGGTTCGGATGCATTGCAGGGCCACGTGACTCACCAGGGAGATTTCTGCAACATTGTGGCGCCATATTGCCGCGGCAGTCAATAATTTTTGTATTCGGACAGCATCATTCCGGATGGTGTATTTCTCTCTTTCCGACATGTAAATGAAATTTGTAGAATCCTAGGATCAAGACCGAGATGCAACAAAACTTGTTGCCGTATCATCTTTCAGTCCAGCACCTAGCTGTGATGCACAAAATGGGTTCACCTGTTTTGTCCACCGTTTATTTTTGACATGATAGTAAGTACTTTCTCTTCAACCGAATTCATTACGCAAGATTATGCAACCTCTCTTTAGGCGTACCAATTGAGTTTGATGTCCCCTGGGCCCTGGGACATTCGATGATACTCGTGAGTCGCGACAGTCTAAGCGACAGTTTTCCAACTGTCAGGGTGACAGCCGATCGCCTGGATCCAATTGTATCGCCAGTCGTATCATGGTAAAGATACTTAGACGAAGTCTGAAAAGAAGATGAGTCGGTTGCATTCACCTATGACACATATAAATGCACCTATCACTGATCCCAGCCACATCTAGGGTTGCTGATGATGACTCGGACTGCTGTGAGACACCTGTCATCATTAGGATAAATTTGAATATGTATCTGCGCAGGCAAGCCGGCGCACAAGATTCTGTACTACCTTTGGCCTCCTCACTTATGCTTCGGGGGGCGGTCTTAGAGAGAATGATGAACCAAGCGGTAGCAGCGCTTAATTCGTTGTCTTTTTCCCGGCTCGAAACTGTTTTTTTGGAACGCTTAATTCTTCACAGTGAGCTTCGACATGTTCTCATGGCCCTTTTTCCAAGTGCTGGTTCCGGGCAAAGTGTCACTCGACCGGATGAATTATGTCACCTAGATTCCTATCCGCAGCCTTAGGCCAACTACCCATTCATCCTAAATATTCATACCGCAGTCACGATCACAGAAGTGAACTCAATTACTATGCCCCTGTTGCGAAAGTCTATTTCAAGTTTGCTGCGGAGCTTGAAGTATCCTATTGTGGCGCGCACGGCAAAATCAGCTGTTTTCTCGCAAGTAGTTTCTGGTCCCATAACGGTTTCGTCTTTGGCGCAGAAATAACCTACCAGTCACGAGGTAAAACCGGCGCACCCTGAATCGGGTTCCCACGTCAACTGTACCCTATGGTGATTATTAAGCTGCTCAACCTGTTCGCTTTTCATCACAATTCAGTTTGGTGTAACTTGTAGATGAGTCTCGGCGCACCTCAGCGCGGTAAATCTTTCTCAGATGAAGCCATGGATTTACACCAATTCAGCCATATCATCGCAGTGTCAGCTCCTCCAGAAATGCTACCGTTCCAAACATGGATTGATAGCAAGTCAGAAGCCACGTACGTCCTTCGACATAATTCAAGTCGTTATTCAGGGGTAAGCAGACCAGTTGGGGCTGCACTTGGCATCATTTAATGACAAAGTTGACAGACTATGAGGACATTCGCTAGGCGTGTTCTGCCGCGATGGTCCTAATTCTGGATGTTTGACGCAAGGACCAATCAACCAGGACGGTGGTTCAATGATATGATCGCGGCAGAAGATGTCAATCGCATGTCACTTTGTTGGAACGAACCCTTCGGCATGCTTATTCAATGGCAGCCTGATTCACCCGACTTTATTCGTGGGGAATCTACGTGGATGACTACTCAAATTGCAACCCACTCTCATGTAGGACTCGGATGCCGTGCTTGTGTGTGGCAACATGATACTCAACTTAGCTACGTCTAATGACCTTCTCTAGAACATAGTCCATGCGCTGAGTCGTTCGAATTGACTAGGAAGGCAAATAATATCACACGAGCTTTGCCGACCACTTGATTTTGGTATGTGAGAAGGTTCGCCGATCTATCTTCTCTACCTATTTGGACGATCGGCTGATCGGTGCAGGGGGTGTTTTTATAACAGGAAGAACTTTGGCGCGCGAAACGCTTTGGAGCGGGTACCTGATTGTGGGTCATCGAAACAAGGTTTGTTCGTCTCATGTCAGGACTTTGTTATCCACGTTGTTCGAGATCTCCGTTCCCGCTTAGTGTCCATGGCAAGCTTGCCTGAGACTATAAAACCCTCTCGTTTGAATGGTGGTTTGATCACTATCTCAGATCATACTTAAAATGGCACACTATTCCAATCCACCTGTTATCCACAACGGACCTCCGACACATCCTGCTTTACGTGAGTCATCATCTCCTCCCTAGTGGCTCCGTCTTACGAGTTACAAAGATGTCCGGGATGCCAAAGATGCGCACGTCGTCCTCGAGGCCGTGCGCCTCAATATGTTACCGTTGATCAAGCGGCGACTTACTGCTTCAGAAAGAGATCAGTTATCCTCCGGGAACGTCTTCGTCTGGGAGGAGGCTGAGAATGATGGAGGACTCCTACGCTGGACAGACGGACGTAGATGGTATTCAACATTGCCTTCTATGTAGATGTCGTCATGACGTGTGTCTCCTAGGTCGCAAAGTCGGATGCGTGGTGACTACTTATTCTACGAGGAGAAGATGGAGACAACTCAGGAAGAGAAAGATGCTAAAGCTGCTTTAAGGTTTGCCATTTGAATCAGTATATTCCTTAGTGTACTCACTGCATCGTAGAGCGCTTCGTACTGCGGATCCACTCGCTGTGGCTCCTCCAACGAACAGACGAAAAGATCGTCCCAATCGTCCAAACGGTCTGACGAAACAAACTTACTCCGCATTAGTCTACCTTCCAGGCTCAAGTCTACCGCGTAAATGGCATGTCGTCGCATACTTCACAGTAAGCTTAGTCTTCACGATTCAAGGAGAACTCTTGTTCATTATCGCAACAGGGGGATGACTATGCTCAACTTCCTGTCATTGAGAGTTACGATTACCTTCGAAATTTGAAAGTTCCGGGTGGCGTCTTTGTGTCCAGCAAAGCCAACGGATCTCGCACCGATCGCTTCTCTTATACAAGTGATGGAATGGAGCCATACAATTCGGCAGGTCATTTACATGGCCACACAAGTCAGCATTCTATGCTGCAAGGAATTCCCCGATCCCCAATGTCTTCCTCCTCCTCGTCATCATCAATGCCTTTATCTCCTACCAAGCATCATTCAAGACCTCTGCCATCACCAGGCACTGCCATAGGGCCTGGGCGTGCAGAGACGTCCCTGCCCAGCATTTCGATTCTAACTGGTCTACGTAATACTCCAGAATTTCGACAACCTCATCCCTCACAATCTGCACAACTCGGACATCCCTCCACAACGACTTACACCCCCTTATCCGCGGAAGACAGACGAGTACTCAATAGGTTCAAAGTCGTATTATAGTCCCCCCCCCTTTTTCGTCCCGAACAGTTTTTTTTGCCCAAGACATTATAGATATCCTGCATTCATTTTTGTTCCTTGGTAACCGCCAGTATTTTCTATCTTATCTCTTGTTGTATCCATACTCTTCCCGACCGTACCAATCGCCGGCGTGACAAGGCATTGTAAAGAACACATCAGCGGCGCTCGGTCGTCGGATAAGTCCCAAAAACCAGAACAAAGGTAATGGGTATTTCATTTCCGTGGGTCTCCACGCATCGCCCACACTCAAAAGTAAGCAGGGTAGAAAGGAAAAGGGATTCTGTTCACGAGCTTTTACGTTGGCAATTACGTGGTCCAGCTCCGGTATACCAGAGTCACATCTTTCACATGATTATTCACCAGTCTACAACCGTGTCACTCGCACGCTGAAGCGAGCGCTAGAGCTAATAGCGCTGGCCCTCACACTCGCTTAAATGTTTAACATACTCGGACATCTCCAGCGCCGTGGCGTTCTATCCTGTTCTATTGAGTCTCTTCACTTTTTGCGCTCGGTCTAAATCTGTACGAGTCATTTGTGCCAGCTTCGAGCATGTGGCGACAATGCCAGTGACGATAGTGCGCTTCTTGTGATCATTACCACATCTTCATTTCCATCTGTCTTTGTGGGTGCAAATGCCGTGCGCAGTCGTCAGATCCACTCTTTGCCCTTGTACTCGATTCATGACGTGGACGATTCATTGTACACACGACTAGTATGCTGCGCTACAGCCTACCATGCTGGAGATGAGCCGATGTCTGGGCAACGACGGTCACAAGTAGCCGATGTAGCTTATGGGAACTTCATGGAGCAGGACCCGGACTGATCCTGGGATGTTCCAACTTGGTACTTTTACTATGAATGAGTAATATCTGACGAGTCCGCAGCGAGAAACAGGATGCTATGTATATGAAAATTTCCTCGTCTCTATGTCATCACTGCGGATTCGTATGAATTTCGATTACATAATATCCAGGCTTCAGTCGGGACATCAATGTCGCGGTCAACTCTAAAGTTAAGGCCTCGCGGCGAGTTTCCTCTATCCCTCAGAATAATATCCACATGTCGCTTCTTTCGAACACTGCCAAGTTCACTGCTCTAAAAGATCGTCCTAAACATCTGTGGCGGGTTGTCCCATGTTTACTTGTCAGTGTGTGAATCGCCCGACCAGGATCGGGGCCCTGAAGTTCATCCTCTGTGTTCGTGAATTCTGCTTTCAGTGAGTAACTATTCTCTTATCATCATGTCTTCGTGGATCTTCGAATGGCCTTATGACATGCGGATGTTTTGAATGAATGCCTGCGATAGTTATTAATATTAATAATGGCCGGGTCATGAAGAGGTCATTTGTGCCCTTTTCATTCGACGACTTTCTAGTAGCCTCGGCCTGACGCCAGCTGAGTTCCTTCCGCGGACTGTTTTTCATTTGTACTTTCACCTGCGTAGAAGAGGAAATGCTCAATTGGCCAACCTTTTGTGCGGACAGATATGATCAGGCACACTGGTTTCAATCACTTATATGTTTCTCGCCGACCATCGTTGTGACTCATGCCTAAACTAATTGGCCACAGCCAATCAGACTGCTCGTTGTACCGGTTGTCTTGGAGAGCTTCAGCTTGCAGATAAGGCTCGCGATTAGCTAACTGGCAGAGAATGATATCATATTCATATTACGATGCTATAGGATGAATCTCATCAGGCCTGCTAGATATTACAACACTTGGCGTGTACGACGAGATACTGAATCAGGTTGGGAAACAATAGCGACTCCGCGGTAGCTTACACTTCGCCATGCATCATCCGTTTGCCCTCTTCCACTTTATCCTCCTTACCAGTCATCTTCCCAGCGATGACTCTGGCCTCACCTCGGAGTTTATCCAGGAAACTCACCCGATGTTCCTTAGAGCTGTCTGCAACGCTCGCTGGAGGCGCAGATGCCGGTGACATAGGAGAGTCAGGCTGAGCTTTCGCCTGGCTCGTGCGTTCACCAACTTGAATGGGCGGCGGATGCAACTTTGCCGGGTGGTAATCGGAATCGTAACCTCCCGTGCGTGCTCCAGCATTATCAGTGTGTTTGATACCCTCATCGCTACCCCTATCACCAGTCGCCTTGCCTACATCACCCGTCCTATTCTCGACGCCTTGATTCTTTGTCAGCTCTTTATCCCCAGGCTCCTGGGGCACGGTTGCTCCCTGACCGCGTGTCGGAACTTCCTTGTTATCGCGAGCTTTTTCCTCGACGCCCACTTAAACCGTAATTAGCTTATAGAACAAGTGTCAATCGATATGCACATACCTTCCTTCGCTAACTCACCAGCGCCTCCTGCACTTCCCACAACGGCAGTTTTGGCTGGCTGACTGTCTGTTGTCTTGCTTGGCGGCTGATCACGTATTTGAGCCGCTCCTATGGCAGTTCCGCTAACACCAGCTGTCTCAGTCTCGTGTGAACGTTTCTCTTCCAGCACTTCGTGCCTCGGAGTATCAACAGGCATAGACTTCGGATCAGAAAGCTTTGCGGGATACTGATCCGTTTGCTGAGTAGGTGATTTGTCCAGTTGCTGAGGTTCCATCTGCGTCCCATACTGGCTGGACTGAGCCCGAGAGGACAGCTCCTTCGAAAGAATAGAAGGCTACAATGAGGACAATCGTCGTCAGATTCCAAGCAACAACCAGGAGGGAATATGTATAATAGCCAAACGAGCAAGTCTGAGGTTAGCAACAAAGCGTGGCACTCAAAGAAATCCCGGAGTAGAATATGATAGATAAACATGGCATAGCCAACCGTCCCCGCATCAAGTGCAAGTGCCCAAAAGAGGTTGGAGTCTGAAACATCAACATTTGAAGGGACAATCCGAAAAGCAGGAGGGGGAATTGAAAATGAATGACTTGACTGAATGACACGACCGTAGAATGACAGGAAATGACTCGGTGCGGTCATGATCAAACCTGTCAATAGCTCCGCGACATCAACGTGCTCCCTCGAAACCCAAAACGAGCACGTCGAGATACGCCAACTGCCAAAAGGCAGTGCGACAGAAAGAATGAGGAATGAATGTAGAACAGAAGTAAAACAAACTAGCCCAATTCCTCATCCGCGGAAAATGCACATCATTACAATCTCCCGGGCAGAGTCAGCGTTTCTGTGTACCATGGCTTGCGCTAACCCGCCCAAAAGTAAACATCGCGAAGAGAAGGAAGAGACATCAAGGTGGAAACATGGTGGTACTTACTTCTGGCTTTGCAGCAACCGCAGCAGCACCGGAAGGATAGGCGGCACTCTTGGCCTGGTCATCACCTTGTGTTGGAAACTCGTCCTTTACCAATTTTGCCGATCTGTGAGCATCTTTCTCTGCCCGTTCATCGGGTAGTAAGGCGACGCTTGATTCTGAGATAGTTCCTGGCAGGGAACCAACACCGCCAACGTGTTCATGAGGCTGGGCGCCCTTTAACTCTGAACTCGGAAGAGAAGTAGATAGATGTTGGTCCAACTCAGACTGAATCCCTTTAGGCTGAGAATCTTCCTCATTCGCTGCTAAAAGTCCGTCAGGACAACTCGAGCACAAGATAGGGGCCACACGCACACCAGTAGGAAGCCACTGTTTTCTTGACGCCCTGAGGGATGGGAATGTATGCAGCTGCTGTCTTACTAGCATAGTCGACGGTGCGCCCCACAGGTTCCGGCATGTACTGCTTCGCGGTTTGAACAACTGAGGCGCCAGCCGCAGGGCCTTCAGACCCATCGCCGCGGGATTGCTCTTGCTCGAGTTCCCTGGGATAGGAGCCTGGAAATTCGTGACCTGGCGTGCTCAAGTTCGTCGTGGTTGTAACTGGGCGTTGTTCAGGCTTGGGCGTCGTCCTCATAGCGGGATCAGGGGTAACAACGTCAGACTGGAATATGGACTCAGTTTTACTTGCCCACTCGGCAGGAGGCGTGCCAGATGGTACAGGTGTGATTTTCGGTGGTAAGTCGCTCGTCATTCTTGATGTTGACGAGTGAGTCAGAGCGGAGACGAGCTTTTATACTGGCAGCCAAGAGTGACGTCACACTGCGGGGACCAATAACCAAACTTTGCCTAAACTGGAGCGGCTCTCCAACGTTCATGATATCACTCCTTGCTTGACTACTAAAGACCACATCGCTCAATGTTAAAATACATACAAAATTGTGAGTAGTGAGTTAACAAAGTGTAGGCTGCACGCCAAATCAAACGCACGTAAAGACATCCCTATGCTCTATGTGGTCTGTAAGGATTCTAGTTTCGCCTGTGTTTCAGCCATTTCCTCCTCCCAGGCTTTCCAGGCCCGCGGTTCCTTTTCCCAATGTTCATGACATTCATGGCATCGTATGTAGTAAGCTGTGCTCGTAGCGCCATACCCCAACAACACACTAGAGAATTAGAGATACATTAGGTGAAACCCATCAGTCGAACATCATCATGCACTTACAACTCAGGCAGCACTTCGCCGACAGCATCGATCTCCCCTCCAGGCATACAGTCTTCGCAGAACGCTTGTGGGCATGTTTGGCACCTACACAATCTTAGATTGGGTCCTTGTTGAGGATATTTACGCACCTGAATAGCATTCCTCCTGCTTCAGCGGTGGAGCGATTGCAAGCTGAGCAGCTGTGTTGGGGACAACGGATCATAGGTAGCCTGCGGAGTTGCGCTTTGGTGATACCATGGCATTTGGGGTGAAATACTGGTGATCTGGTGTCAAGAGCAAGCCAAACCACATGCTCGTTCGGTCTTACCTCGGGGACACGAGGTACAGAGGATGACGTCGCCGCCATCTCGACAATAAATGCACCAATCCTCTGTTTCGTGCTTTGCTTTCGACTTCTTTTTCGAGGCTGGAGTTACTTCCTCTGGCTGATAAAGGCACGAGTCAGTACATCTTCCTTCCGCAGATAACACCACACGAACCGCGCTCTGGCCCATATGATCGGCGATGACTGTGATACCATCTACCACAACCGTCCTGTCTATGCGCGCCCGTTTCTGCAGTTCATGCCACTCCTGCGCAATCTGATGATTGTTTTGATTGCGTTTAATGACCTTGCCCTCGAAGAGTCTGCTCTGAACCTGAGCGATGCCACTAAGAAGTTTTCGCTCCTCTTCCTCTGCATCGAGCAACGTTTTCTCATCAACCTCTTCGGCAGTATCATGTGAAGACACCACCTCTTTCTTTAGCTTGGCATCCCTTACTCCTTCCCGCTCTCGTGAGTCGTCGAGAATCTCTTGGATTGGCGCTTTGAGAAATGTGCCTAAGTCCATACCTACATCCGATCGGGACAAGGCGCTACTACCCTTGCGCAAAATGTCCAGGAGCTCTGTAGTCTTCAATTGGGTATTATCCTCGTTGGGAGAAGATGACGACGTTGAGGAAGACATGACTTTTAATGATAGGAACATCTTGCGACGAATGCGGTCAAGCATCTGATCTTCGACGCTTCCGCGACAGATAAGGCGATACACCTCCAGGAACAAGGTTTGTAGGGCGAGTTGTGACATAGATCGGACACACCTTGACGGTTTTCGTCTGACCAATGCGATGGGCCCGAGCAATAGCTTGTAAATCGTTCTGTGAATATTTAACGGACATCATGCAGACCTGCCACAGAACGCTCACCTGAGGATTCCAATCGCAGTCGCACATGATGACAGTTGATGCTTTTGTAAGATTTATACCTACCAAAGTGTAAAATCAGACCTTTGTGAGCAAAACTTCACGTACCAAGTCCGCCCGCTTTTGTTGAAACAAGGAAGACTTGATATGCTAAACGTTTTTCAGCACAAAAAATATCATGATTTAAACCAAGACCTTACGAGATTTTTCTTGTTGAAACTATAGACAGCAGACATCAGCGAGCAGCTAGCAAGGCAAGAAAATCGTCCCACCAGTTTGATATCAAGATTCCGCCGAGGGCGGGTTGTTCCACCATCCAGCCGAGCGTATGGTATTGACCGCAATTCCATGTAATCTTCCAGGAGATCAAGCATGCTAATACCCTTGCATCAAAGCATAATCAGCGAGAAGTGCAATTGCCATTTACCTTGTCCATTGCTACGATTACTCGTCAGTCTCGGACTGGCGCAGGTATTTTTGTTTCAAAAAACTTACAGAAAATATCAAGACACGTTCTCCTTTGGGCAGGATATCGGCAAGAACCTTGTCAATGACAATGAGTTTTGAGGAGGAGGCAACGACGTGTTCGCCAATAATATACGGCGAAGGTGATGCGTCTTTCAGCAGATATGGACTGTTATCTGATCTAAGCAGCATTCACAAAGAGACCAAAATATAACATACTGATCACAGACTTTACGCAGCTGCATCAACAGATTCATGAGCTTCCGCCATCCTTGGCGTTGTAAGCACGTGATAACGATGTGCAAGTACAGTTTGAACTCACTGTTTGTCTCTCCAGAGACATTCCGATTTATCGCTGACGCGATGTGTGAAAAGACTTCCTTGCGTCCCTCATTCAGCAGACCATCCTCCTCTGTAAATATCTCTCTTAGATCCATTGTATCCATTTGTGTCAACAATCTATAAGTCCAGAACCTCTGGGCCTCCGTCATGGGTATGAATAAACTAACTTCTTCGCGTGGCGGTACGGCTATATCGACGTTCGCCTTGGTGCGGCGCATCATAATGACAAGCAAGAGCTCCTGCGCAGCCTTTAGGAATGGTATCGAGTACGACCCACGGGAGAGGTCAAAGGAATCGTGAAATAATCGCTGTGAAGGAGGAGTGAATATGGTTGGGTATAGCCAACTCAAGAGGCCCCATAACTCGACCAAATTGTTTTGCACAGGCGTGCCCGTAAGAACTAGCAGGACACATTGGTGAGATGTCAAAATGCAATGCAAAATGAAACGCCTTGCCTAGTCGGTACAGGGAACCTATGCCCCGGATTTTGCTGAAAAGGTTGGTATCAGAATTCTTGATCCTATGTCCCTCGTCAAGAACACAATAGAACCATCGTCGGCTCTTGAACCAACTGTCCTCACAAACATACGCCTCATAAGTTGTGATGCATAAATCGAATTTCATTTCGTCGTTCCTGACCCTGTTCTTGAGTCGATCTCTCTCTGACTGACTGCCGTGGAAGCGAAATACGCGCAATGAGGGTACCCAACGGGCAGCTTCCTAAATATATGGCCAACATGAGACATGGTTGAAGTTAGAACTACAAATCTTACATTTTGCCAGGAGGACAAAACAGAAAGAGGGCAGATGATAAGATGGGGATCATGACGGCCTTCACAGATCCTCAGCATTTATCAAAACAGAATGACTACAGGTGTCATACCCGGTTCGTTCTCTTGAATATGTGCAAAGAGGGATAGTGTCTGGTACGGTGTCAGAAAAAGAATACGGACCCGAAGGGAAGAAGTACCTGTAGTGTTTTTCCAAGACCCATTTCTAAGCAAATCGTCACGATGGATAAAATGAAACAGAAGAACGAAAGATTTACCATCACCCAATATACAGTTCATCCCTACACGCGATCTTAGTGCCTAGGATGCATCATCGAGCAAAAAAAAAATACCGTTCTTATACATATATGTAAGGAATGCAAGACCTTGAAGCTGCAGACGAGTATTCAGGCAAACGCTGTGAGGAAAAAATGCACTATACGTACTTGATAATCTTTCATTTCACCGCCCTCTACCAACAAAGGCTGTGTCATGAGGACGCGGAGTGGGACATAAGCCGTGTCTCCTCCTGTTTCCTTCATTTCCTTGCGCAAGGTGTCGAAGAATGAAGTCGAGGGCAATAGTGGTTGAAACAGGTCATGATGGCGGTACAGCCACCTTCTGCGGGCAGATTCGAGTTGTACCCTTCTTGCATTTATGACTATAGTATTCTAGAAGATCGATTATAATAGTGTCGTCAGCACCGGCCCCACAAGACAGCGATGAACCTTACCGCTTTCTTATCTTGTATCTTCTGCCTTTTCTGAGAGTTCGCGCCATTGTCTATGGCAGAAAATGATGTTGTTCTGACGCGCTTTCCCTGCCATTTGAATATTTTCTCCGCTTCGTAAATCATTCCGGGGAGGAGAGACACGTAACCTGATAGTGAGTTTCTCCTCTTCGACTGGGGGTGACCCGTCACCAATTAGAGTCGTACTTGACCTGGAACTGGCGATAATATCCAGCTCGTCGGGTTCTGCATCAAGCAAATTGACTGGCCCAAAGGAGTGAGACATGGCCAACTATCGGCAGACTGCAGAATGTCCGACAGAGCTTCTCGAGAGGTTGTGAATGGCTGAGACCTACTCAGTGTTGCCACTGCAACTTTGAACAAACGCGGTTCCAATTATTGGATTTAGGGCCGGTCATTACGCGCTTCTTGTGGCAATGGACTCGTTCGTCTTCCTCAAACAACCAACATGCATGCAAATGAATATTTGAGATAACAACAACCAGCTCGTATGGTATTATTCATTTGCTCGACTTGAGTCTCATCGGTGTGCTACAAAATGTCGTAAGTACTCAGTTTCATAAGAATATCATTCGCGTGTCTGAGAATAATAATATGTCGCTTCAGCTCACGCGTTCACAAGTCATCGTATGTCTATTTCAGCACGCCGCAACTTACCAATCGAAGACGTCCAGACTCTAGACTCGAAACCCCACGTTAGAGATTTCCCAATGCCAACCACGTTACCATCAACGACAAGAACTTGGACATCCGACCAGGAAGTGCCACTGTCACCGAACGTCAGCAGCAGTTGGATGCAGCGTTGTACGAAATCACAGACCTGGAAACCATCATGGATAGTGTAAAAATCTTCACCTGCAGCTCGTCGACAAGGAGAAAAGTACCCGGCCTACGAATTTTCACAA